CGGTTGGGGTCGTGTGAATGGCAACCAGTCGATGTGTCTCTCTCACATAGATGTTTCTCTCTCTCTCTCCCTCCCGCTCTATCTGAAAATAAATGCAAAAATGTCCTCGGGTGAGGACAAAAGAAAAAGAAAAAATAGCAGCTCATATTCACTGGCTTGAATTGCATACTTTGCCCATGCCTCAAACAAGTGATTTGGCAAAGGGGACAGAATCACCTTAAACTAATTAGATTTACTACCCCCACTTCTGGCAGGGCTAGGGAAAAGGCTGGGTTCCCCCTGAAATTAATGTGAGCAAATCTGGCTTTAGATACAAAGGAAGAACAGAGCGATGGTTGCTGGGTGGAGGCTAGCAGTGTGGTCTCTACGGCAGCATAATCTGGGTTGTATTACTATTTATTTCTCGAGGGAGACATCAGGGAGTGGTGACAGATAGGAATTCAGGTGATATAGCCAGAAGCCGGTGCACCAGATGGTATTCACGTACTCAGACCCACTCTTGTAATGGTTTGGTTCAGAGCCAAGATACTCTTGGAGGCTGTCTGGCACCGTGGTCAAGGTACTGGTTCTAGAACCAGACAGCTCTTCGTTACTTTTGGCTGTGTGACTCTGGCCAAGCCACTTTACCTACCCAAAGGTGTGTTTCCTTACTTGAAATTAGGAATAGTAATATACCCACAAGTACTGTAGTTAAAATTAAAGGAGGTAATATAGGTAGAGCATTTAGAACATGCCTGACACATAGGAAGAGCTTAACAAATGATAGCCACAGTGCTTATTGTATATAATAAGGCACATCAAAGCACTACTAATCAGTTAAGAAATATTTATTACCTTTACCTTGGCCAGTTTGGCTCAGCAGTTAGAGTGTCGGCCTGTGGTCTGGAGAGACCCAGGTTCGGTTCCCACTAAGGGCATGTACCTCAGTTGCAGTTTGTCCCCAGCCCTGATTGGGTTGTGTGGGTGGTAACCACTCAATGTGTCCCTTTCATGTTGCTGTCTCTCTCTCTCTCCCTCCCTCCCTCCCACTCTATCTGAACAAAATATCAAAAAATGTCCTTGGGTGAGGATTAGAAAAAAAAACAAGAAATACTTATTACTTTTCAAATGTAGAACGCCATGTTGGGCTTATATGGGGATATAATACACCTTGATATCAAGGGGAACAGAATCTAGTTAGGAAGTTAGAAAGCACACTCATTAAAAGATATCCTGATAATATTTGGGAACACATGATAAGTGACAAATATTAGGCATGATCAGAACTTAGAGTCAGTTTTTATATTAAGGATATTCAAATAAAGACAGATCTTTTGAGTCACAGTTTTTAAGCTAAAAGGGACCACAGAAGTAACCTGAAGTCCAAGAGGAATAAGTGCCTTACTTCAGGTCACAGAGCATGCCAGAGGCAGGCTCAGGTTGGGTTCGAGTTTGGCTCTGTCCCTAATTGGCTGTGTGTCCTAGGGCAAGCCACTCACCTTCTCTGAGCCTGACTTGGCTCATCTGTGATATTCTTTTAGACCACAGCCTCTGACTCCCAACTTACCTCTCACTAAATTAAATGATTTAATAAACTGGTCCAGCTTCTATGGTAATCCACGTGTACATAAAGATGAGCCCCTGTAGAAGCAGGGTTAGGCTTGCTAGGAGCAGAGGCATGTTTGGGAAACCCATGACAGCTAAGAGTACTTTTGACCCAAACGCCATTCTCTTTGAAATAGCAGACTTTCGGGAGTTGATCTCTGAAACCATCTAGTTTCCTGTGTTATGAAATGCTCTGGCTGGGAGTGAAGCGGAATCTTGAAGAATGTTCTCACTTGTATAGACAGATCAGTCCATTTGCCAAGGCCAGGCCTCTCGGACAAGCTTATTGAAGATTCTAGAAGTGTCATGGCCCTGAAGAGGAAGTCACTGTCCTACACTGAGCAGGGTACGTAAATATTTTTCCACATAAAGGCTTGAGAAATTTTCCAGACTTTGAGGGGGTATGATGCCACTTACATAATAATCCTTTGCTCTGCTCTGACCTGGCCAAGGCATAACCCGAGTGCTTACTGCCACCTAGTGGTGCTTACATGAACTACCATTTTGGGGTGTGTAGGTTGGATGAAGAACCAATTTTAGGAAGAGGTTGGCCCTCCAGTTTGCATTCCCTACTGACTTATTTCACCAGCTGGCATCCCAGGTCATTTATTTGCTTGTGTATGTATGTATATAGTATCTATGTATGTATTTCAATGACTATTTTATTTCAGAGTACTTTTAGACTTACAGAAAAGTTACAAAGATAGTAGTTATTGTATCCTCACTTAGTTTCCTCTTATTAATGTCTTACATTCCATGACATTTGCCACCTCCAAGAAACCAACATTTCCCTGGCTGGTACTGAAGGGTCTTTTGTGTGTGTGTGTGTGTGTGTGTGTGTGTGTGTGTGTTTTATCCTCACCCGAGGACATTTTTTTCGCATTTTTTGTTCAGATAGAGTGGGACGGAGAGCGAGGGAGAGAGAGAAACATCGACGTGAAAGGGACACATCGAGTGGTTGCCACCCACATGACCGGGGACAAACTGCAACCAAGGTACGCACCCTTAGCAGGAACTGAACCCAGGTCTCTCTGGGCCGCAGGCTGACACTCCAACTGTTGAGCCAAACCGGCCAGGGCGGATCTTGATTCCCAGTCAAGGGCATGTAGCTGGGTTGCAGGTTCAAAACCCAGCCCACAGCCAATAAATGCATCTCTCTCACACTGATGTTTCTCTCTCCCCCTCCCTCCATCCCTTTCGCTCTCTCTAAAGTCAATGGAAAAAATATCCTTGGGCCTGGCTGGTGTGGCTCAATAGCTGAGCTTTGACCCATGCACCAAGAGGTCACCAGTTTGAATCCCGGTCATGCCCAGGTTGTGGGCCAAATCCCCAGTGGGGGGTATGCAAGAGGTGGCAAATCAATGTTCTCTCTTATCGATGTTTCTATCTCTACCTCTTTCTCTAAAATCAATAAAGAAAATAAAATATTAAAAAAAATATCCTGTGCCCTGGCCGGTTTCTCAGTGGTTAGTGCATCAGCCCACAGACCAATGAATCATGGGTTCGGTTCCAGCCAAGGGCACGTACCTGGGTTGTGGTTTGTCCCCAGCCCTGGTCAGGGTTGTGATGGAGGCAACCAGTTGATGTGTCCTTCTTGCGTCGATGTTTCTCTCTCCCTCCCACTATATTTGAAGATAAATGGAAAAATATCCTCGGATGAAGATTAAAAAAAAAAATTCTTGGGTAAGAATTAACAACAACAACAAAAAAGAACATAGTCCGGCCGGTGTGACTCAGTGGTTGAGCATCGACCCATGCACCAAGAGGTCACCAGTTCGATTCCCGGTCAGGACACATGCCCAAGTTGTGGCCTCAGTCCCCAGTGGGGGGCGTGCAGGTGGCCAGTCAATGTTCTCTCTCATCAATGTTTCTAGCTCTCTCTCCCTTTCCCTTCCCCTCTGTCTAAAATCAATAAAGAAAAAAAGTTTTAAAAACAAAAGAACATAGATTTTTGTTACTTCATAAATATAACTGCCATTTTTGACAATGATGTATGTCTACCAGATGTACATGTCAGAACACTTTAAGAAACTCCCAGGCCTTGGCCAGTGTGGCTCAGTCGGCTGGGTGTTGTCCCATGCACTGAAAGGTTGCTGAGTTGGTTACCAGTCATGGCACATGTGCAGGTTGCCAATTGATGTTCCACTCTCATATTGATGTTTCTCTCTCTCTCCTTCTCCCTAAAAATCAATGAAAAAAAAAACCCCACATATATATAAATATATATGTATGTATATATTTTAAATAGCTTATTGATTTTTAGAGGGAGGAAACATCGACTGGCCACTTCCTGCACATCCCCTACTGGGGATCAAGCCCACAACCTGGGCATGTGCCCTGACTGGGAATTGAACCAGCGACCTTTAGGTGCACAGGATGATGCCCAACCAACTGAGCCACACAGGCCAAGGCAATAAAAATATGTTTTTAGAAAAGCTCTCAGGAGTCAGACTATGTGCCCTCGCCCGAGGCTCTGAGGCTTTCTGAGCCTCAAGCCTTTCATCTGTAAAACAGGGGCAATGATGGCGATGGTGTTTCTCACAGGTTACTGTGAGAATTTAACAAGGCAGCATACAACAGATTAAGAGCAAGGACTCTGGAAATAGATGGCCTGAGTGTAAATGCTGGCCCTGCACTTATAACCCTTCGAATCAATGCACTGATGCATCAATGTACTATCTACCACATGCACGGATTTGTGTACTGTCCCGTTTCATTCCATGTGCTTCAGGAGCTCCCTCCAGCAATCTTACTTAGGGACTAAGTGCTTTCCAGATTCACGCTTTCGGAACCCTTTGCTCAAATGAAATCTCTTTTGGAAACTTGATATAAACCAAACAGACAAGAGGTCATTTTATCAGCATTCCTTTATTTCTTTAAGTTCATACCTATAATTTTATAACACCTATTAAAATGATATTCAGAATTACTTATTTTGATGATGCACATCAGGAATCTGAGGTTAGAGATGGCAGCTGCAAAGTTAACCTCATCATTTAGCTCTGTCTCTTATTTTGATTGCACAGAATCAATATAATTCTGGTTCACACAGAAAATATCTTAACCACTGCTCACAATCTTCATAAACGGAGGGCAATACACACCTAACAACTATGATACATGATCACATTTGACATGCTACACTTCCACCAGTTACCACACAAGCTGACATCTCCTAAATTTTTTTTTTTAATCCTCACCTGACGACATTTTTTGCATTTATCTTCAGACAGAGCGGGAGGGGGTGGGAGGGAGAGAGAGAAACATCGACATGAGAGACACATCGACTGGTTGCCACCCATACAACCCCAACCAGGCCGGGAACAAACTGCAACCAAGGTATGTGCCCTTAGCAGGAACCGAACCCGGGACTCTCCGGTCCACAGGCCGACACTCTAATCACCGAGCCAAACCGGCCAGGGCCAAGCTGGCATCTCTACAAGATCAGGTTAGCAGAGGCACCTGACCCTTGCCTTCCTCTTAGAGCAGTATACATATGCAGTGATAGAATTTTTGTACAGTTTTGTATGATGAAAGATTCACAAGAGTGAATTTAAATATATAAATACCAGTGCAGAACTAGGCTTCCTAGTCTATGACACATTTAGGAGCTATTAAATAGGTACACAAATGACAATGGATTTGTACTGAGAACTGTGCAAAAATGAGTTACTTGGCATCACAAGGTAGGATTTGGTTGTCTATCACTGGAGTATATGGATTGTTCTACCTCCATGTTTTGCTCACTGTCACTGTCCTTTTCTGGTTTCCTAAGATTCAGGTGAAATGCCCCTCTCATAACTCTGCCTGGAGAAGGGCTTCATCCTCCTCCTCAGCTGCTTCTTCATCTCTTATCAGTGCTAGTAACTCCAATAAGCCTGGGGCTGAGCCATCCTCTGGAAGAGCAAGGTTCCTGCGCAGTGTTCTGTGGACTGCTCCAGCAATGATTTGGTCTAGGCGGGCCTGATTCACAACTTCTCCTCTCTCTACCAGTTTCTGTAATAAAGGCTCCAGCCTTAGTACATAAGCAGACAATTTTTCTTCGGCCTTCTGGTATATGGTCAGATATTTGACCTGTAACTCCCTAGGATTATCAATAACCCCAAACACCTGCTCAAGAGCCTGCAGGGATTCAGGGACTGTAATTAAAGGATTGTTTATCTTGAGGACCCGAATAACATCATATGCTGGGCCTCTAAGGCTCTCTAGCAATCGCCTTCTTTTCTCGGCATCTGACACCTGCCATGTCTTCAACATCTGAGAAGTATGAAACAACCAGGATTCAAATTCTTCTTCTTCAGGTTCTGGAGGATCACTGCCTGAGAATACTCTCAGCTTTTTGTAGTTCAGGTATTGCAGGGCAGGCTGAAGAGCCCCATCTAATGCCTGTGCCAACATGGGGGCCCGCATGTCTGGGATCATGTTCTGGTCTAGGTCAAAAGGGTCATTTCCATACCCAAAAGCTCTGGTCAACTCAACCAATGTCATGCCTTCTCCTTCTAAGAATTCAGTTAATCTGCGTAAAAATTCATTATCTGGGTCAGGGGGCTTAAAGATCACTCTCCACGCACCCTCTTTTCCAGGTATCTCCTTAGGGACCAGAGCAAAACTAGTCTCCTCGGTAAGCCCTATTAAGGCTACGTTCCTGTTCTCATCCCTCCGGAACATCCTCCCAAGCAGTCTGTACTCGCCCAAGGAAGCTAAACCAGCCCGCAGAGCCTCCTCTATTTCTGCCACATTACAGGTCTGGGGGAATGCCAGCAATCAACAGCGCTTTCCAAGGGTTCATATCCATACCCCTACACCAGTCTTCTAGGAGCCTCAGCGTCATGGTGCCCGAAACAATATATTTAAACTCTAATTTGTTGGTGGCAGTGATGCCACCGCTATTCACAGTATTTCTCCTAAGAATTTCGGCTAAGTCGCGTCAACGTCCCGAGTTCCAGGTCCTGTAAGGACAAAGCAGTCAGGTGAATTGATAGTGTCAAGAACTAGGGCCCGCAGAAGGTATTGGCAAGAAATATTCAGAGTGATGAAAAGCAAGAACCTACAACCAAGATTACTCTATCCTGCAAAGCTGTCATTTAGAATTGATGGCCACATAAAGAGTTTCCCAGACAAAAAAAAGTTAAAGGAGTTCATCACCACCAAACTGTTATTATATGAAATGATGAAGGGTCTTTTTGAAGAAAAAGATAAAATATATGAACAAACAAAATGGCAATAAATACATATCTATCAACAATGGAATCTACAGGTAGACTGAACAGGTAGAACAGAAATGAACAGGTAGAACAGAAACATTCTCATAGATAGAGAGAACATTTTGTTAGTTGCCAGATGGGAGGGGGGTTGGGGGAATGGGTGAAAAAGGTGAAGAGATTAAGAAGTACAAATTCATTGCTAGACTGACAAACCTCAAAGGGAAAGGGGTTGGGGGGTGGGAAGAAATAAACCAAAGAACTTACATGCATAACCAATGGACACAGACAATAGTGTGGGAAAAGGTGGGAGGGGGGCGGGAGGGAGGAGGGGGTCAATGGGGGAAAAATGAGGAACATCTGTAATACATTCCACATTCAACAATAAAGATTTAGAAAGAGAGAAAGAAAGAAAGAGAGAGAGAGAGAGAGAGAGAGAGAGAGAGAAAGAAAGAAAGAAAGAAAGAAAGAAAGAAAGAAAGAAAGAAAGAAAGAAAGAGAAGGAAGGAAGGGAGAGAGAAAGAAGAAAGAAAGAAAGAAAGAAAGAAAGAAAGAAAGAAAGAAAGAAAGAAGAAAGAAAGAGAGAGAGAGAGAGAGAGAGAGAAAGAAGAAAGAAAGAAAGAAAGAAAGAAAGAAAGAAAGAAAGAAAGAAAGAAAGAAAGAAAGAAAGAAAGAAAGAAGGAAAGAAAGAAAGAAGGAAAGGAAAGGAAAGGAAGGAAAGGAAGGAAGAAAGAAAAGAACTAGGGCCCGGAAAGCCCCGCGTCCCCTAACCGGTGGGCGACGCCAGGGCGGCCCCACAGCGGCAAGCTGCCGTCTTTCCCCCGCCTGCGCCTCCCCGCCGTTACCTAGTTGTCCCTGTCGCATCCACCGCCAGCGGACGAGGCCGGCTCCCGACGCTTCCCAGGGGGCCAGGCCTGAGGATCGGGAGGGCGGCCTCTCCTCCGCGCGGACTGGCACAGCGCAGGGCTACCAGGGGTTGTGCAGAGGCGCGCCGGCGGGGGATGGAGAGCCGCCCCGTCGCTGCGGTCCTGCCCGCGGCGATGAGCGATGGGGTGATCAGAGTCGCAAGCGAGGCACCGGGGACAAGGCCGAGGAGCGCACAAGCTGCCGGGCACAGACCGCCGCTCATCTGCACCGATGCACCAAGCCCCGAGCTTCCCAGGCTCAGCCCGCGTCCCAACTGCAGCTGTTTGGGGTGAGCTCAAGGGGGCGGCGCCGCGGGCTGGCGCGCCCTGACGTCATGAGGGGCGGGCCCTTCTGGGCGGGGCGCGCGCGCTTCCGGGATGAGCCGGAAGCCCGGACTGTGGCAGCATCCGGGACGGCGAGCGGGCGGGCCAACCCGGACAGGAAGGTGAGATCCGGGGCCTGCCCAGCTCTGCAGGCTCGGCCGGTGGCCGCTGCCCGGCACTGGGCTCCGGCGCTGCAAGGTGGAGAGGCCGGGGCCTGGCGCCGCCCGCTCAGCCCTGGTTGCGGCGGGCGCTGCAGCGTGACAGGGGGCGGGGCCGGCTGGGCAGTCTTCCCGCCCGGCCAGGTGACAGGCTGGGGGCTCCGGGAGCGGCGACGGGGGCCGGGCCGCCGCGTGACCCGCTGCAGTCACGCCGTGCTTAATCATAATTAGCTTGTGCTCCAGGCTGGTCGCGTTCCCGTTCTCCCAGCCGGCGACCCCGGGGATTTCTCTTATGGTGGCTTTCTCTGACATGCCAAAGCTACCTGATTATTCAGAACTGAGTGACTCTTTAACGCTTGCCGTGGGAACAGGAAGATTCTCGGGACCTCTGTAAGTGCTTAAGAGTTACTGTCTTGACTTGGGGGCCCTGGCGTGGGTTTGACTTGTAGAACCAAGTGTCACTCTGAAGCAGTACTATTCAGAAAGCATTTGAACTGTAAAAGTAAAACGTTCCGTAGAAAACCACTTTAATTCCAGTTTCTTAATGGAAGGGGTATTGGACCTATTGAAGCAATATATAGTGAATTATTTTGTGGGATTCACATAAAAGCAGATACAGTATATACGGAAACTTTTTGCATTTCCTCATAACTATTGCATAAAACAACAACCTGTAAGTTGTTTGCATGTCCTAATAAATGTAATTTTAATTTATTTTGTGCCGTAAATACAGTAATGGGGTATTTTAGAACTCACTGGAAACAAAGCAAGTACATTTGAAATAGTTGCTATGACAGCATTACTAGACCCTAACTACTTTCTGTATTTTTAACATTTGAAGGCACAGAGCATGGAGAATGATGAATTTCCGTCAGCGGATGGGATGGATCGGAGTGGGATTGTATCTGTTAGCAAGTGCAGCAGCATTTTACTATGTTTTTGAAATCAATGAGACTTACAACAGACTGGCCTTGGAACACATTCAACAGCACCCAGAGGAGCCACTTGAAGGAACCACATGGACACACTCCTTGAAAGCGCGCTTACTCTCCCTGCCATTTTGGTTTTGGACAATTATTTTTCTGATACCTTATTTACAGATGTTTTTGTTCCTCTATTCTTGTACAAGAGCTGACCCCAAAACGGTGGGCTACTGTATTATCCCCATATGTTTGGCAGTTATTTGCAATCGCCACCAGGCATTTGTCAAGGCTTCTAATCAGATCAGCAGACTACAACTGATTGACACATAAACACAGTCACCATTTTTTCCTTGTGATTACAAAACTGCCAGTACTATATGGAACTTGATCACAAGACTGCAGTTTTTTCACAGATCTCAGGAAGTTGTGGTGGGGCAGAGGCTTTTTAAAAAATGTGACTAGGGAGATATCTTTATCTGAATAATAATGAATTTTTAGGTGAAGCCTGAGGTACAGTGCTACAAAATCATGTTGGTGACTTCAGATTTTGGAAGTAAATTCATGTCTGTTATTTGCATTCTTTAGAAACTTGAATAAGTTCCTAAATTCATATTTTTATTCTACTGTGCAACATAGTGATGGTTCAGAAAATTTTCCTTTCGGGAAAAAATGAATACGAACATTTCCATTGTGTTTAATATGTAAAAAGGTCCAAACATGGTCATAAAATTTAAATTTTATACAATTACTTGGCTTGCTTTAAAATTCTTCAAACTAAAATACCAATTCATCCTTTCCTGAGTAAGCCAACTGTTTATGCTCAGTTGCTGTCCACTTGTGAGAAACTTGACATAAGATTATTGAGGTGATTGCTGTTCTGATAAGCAGAATTTGTTCCTCCTTTTGGTAATGCTACTGATTTTATTTTATTTTTTAAATCCACACCAGAGGATATTTTTCTGTTTATCTGCAGATAGAGTGGGAGGGAGAGAGAAGAAGAAAGGGTGAGAGAGAAAAACATCGACGTGAGAAGGACACATTGACTGGTTGCTTCTCACACAACCCTGACCAGGGCCAGGGACAAACTGCAACCGAACTATATGCCCTTGGCCAGAATAGAACCTGCAACACATTGGTCCACAGGTCGATGCTCTAGCACTGAGCCATACTGGCCAGGGCAATGCTACTGATTTTAAAAGAAACAAAAAACTTGGGAACAAACTAAATGTTTGAAAGTTGAAAAATCTAATTAACACATAGAAAATGGAAACAAGGTGTTCAATGAAAATATTTGGTCCAGTGCCTGTCAGATGTGTGATAGCTCTTTAAAAGATGCTATCAAGCCCTGGCTCAGCAGTTAGAACATCAGCATGCGGTCCAGAGAGACCTGGGTTCGGTTCCCACTAAGGGCGTGTACCTCAGTTGCAGTTTGTCCCCAGCCCTGGATGGGTAGTGTGGGTGGCAACCACTCGATGTGTCCCTTTAGCGTCGATGTTTCTCTCTCTTTCTCTTCCTCTCTCTCCCTCCCACTCTATCTGAACAAAAAATGTCCTTGGGTGAGGATAAAAAAAAAAAAAAGATGCTATCAAGTCATCGTCCTGATACTCTTTTCTAGCCAAAGGGCTGGTCTTCAGGCGATAGGATAGTTGCATGAAGATGTGATCCTTGTACTTCCTCCTGTGCATTTGTACTTACTACCTCATGTCTGTATCAATAACACAAATAACTAAAAAATGGAAATTTTAGATTTTAGGATTTTTTTTTCTTTTTCTTCTTTTTTTTTAATCCTCACCCGAGGACATTTTTCCACTTTTTGTTCAGGTAGAGTGGGAGGGAGAGAGAGGAAGAGAGAGAGAGAGAGAATCATCGATGCGAAAGGGACATATCTGTGAAAGGGACATATCGAGTGGCTGCCACCCGCATGACCAACCAGGGCCGGGGACAAACTGCAACCGAGGCATGCGCCCCCAGCGGGAACCAAACCTGGGTCTCTCCGGACTGAAGGCCAATGCTCCAACTGCTGAGCCAAACCTGCCAGGGCTAGGATTTTTTTTTTCTGGGTGAGATCAAGATATATTTTTATACAATTATGCCATAATACCAGGGAACTATTTCACACTGATAGATTTTAGTAATCAACATCTTTTGGTGCTTACTCTGTTGGGCCCTGTTCAAAGAACTTTACATGAATTAACTCACTTAATGCAACAACCCTATGAGCTAACACTTAGATTGTACAGATAAGGACACAGGTGTAGAAGTTAAGTAACTTGCGAAAGGTCACACAGCTGGTAGGTGGCACAGCCAGAGTTATAAGCAGGTGGCTGACGCCTTTGTTCCCAACCACAGCTGTAGTGCTTCTCACAAATGACAGCTGTTTCAGTAGTGCGTACTGTCTGCCTAGCCATGCTAAAGAATGGAAATGGCATTATGGAGAAAGGTTTTTCTCAGTTTGTATGAGCTACTGAAAATAAAATTTCTAGCAACCTCAACCTTCAGGTCTCATTTGACCAAACAGGAAGGCTGACCGTTCTACAGCAGTCTTTTACTTGAAAGATAAAGCAGGTACCTTTGCTATTCAAAAGCAGCAAGAGCAGATTCTTCTCTAATTCATCTCATTTCTGTCTTTTACTGCCTCCATAGGTCTAGTTTCTAAAATGATTTATCTTCTGCTGCAGTACATGGAATCTTCAAAGCAAGTGGCAGTTGAAATACCTGTTTCTGTGAGGGTCAGATAACCTAATCACTTGCATCTTTTCAGTAGTTACTGATTATAGACAGTCCCCAACTTACCATGGTTTTTTCCACTTTATGATGGTGTGAAAGCAATATGCATTCAACAGAAACTGTACTTTGAATTCTGATCGTTTCCCAGGCTAGTGATACGCAGTATGATTCTTGTGATGCAGGGCAACGGCAGTGAGATGATTTTGACCAATCGCAGGCTGATGTAAGTGTGCTGAGTATGTTTACAGTAGGCTAGGCTGAGCTCTGAGGTTCGGTGGGTTAGGTGTGTTAAATGCATTTTTTACTTATATTTTCAACTCACGTCGGGTTTGAGAGTAACCATCGTCAGTCAAGGCACATTGTAATGTACATGCTGCAGGCACTGCTTTGAGTGATTTGCATTCATTCTTCACAACAGCCATGAGGCAGGTATGTACTGGTACCAGTGCCATTTACAAAAGAAGAAAATGAGGAAACCTGAAGCACATAGGAATTAATAACTTACCCATGATCACACAGCAAGTAAATGGAAGAGTCAGGACTTGAACCTGGAATGTCTGGCTTCAGATCTCTAGCTCTAGCATTCCACTATACTGCTTTTTTTTTAAATCCTCACCTGGGGATATTTTTCTATTTATCTTTAGATAGAGTGGGAGGGACAGAGAGAGAGAGAAACATCGATGTGATACACATCAGCTGGTTGCCTCCCGCACAACCCTGACCAGGACACCAGGGACGAACCCCAACTGAGGTACGTGCCCTTGACCGGAATCAAACATGTGACTCACTGGCCCGCAGGCTGACGTTCTAACCGCTGAGCCAAACCAGCCAGGGTGGCAATCCTGTTTTTATTTATTTATTTATTTATTTATTTATTTATTTATTTATTTATTTATTTTTATCCTCACCCGAGGACATTTTTCCATTTTTTGTTCAGGTAGAGTGGGAGGGAGAGAGAGGAACAGAGAGAGAGAGAGAGAAACATCGATGTGAAAGGGACACATCGAGTGGCTGCCACCCGCACAACTGACCAGGGCCGGGGACAAACTGCAACCGAGGTACGCGCCCTTAGCGGGAACCGAACCCGGGTCTCTCAGGACCGCAGGCCTACGCTCTAACCGCTGAGCCAAACCGGCCAGGGCAGGCAATCCTGTTTTTAGAGGTAGGTCTTCAAATGATTCTTTCAGGGTTTTCTGCACCATAAAGACTTATTAGTCATGAGATCTGTGTTTATCTTTGGAACAGCTTCAACAAATATTATGTGGTAAGTTCATCCCAGATGTTCAAATTGCAAATCTTTAAGTGTCTATATTTTCTTTTTTTTTTTCAAGGTTTAAATTAACTTTATTATTACAAGGGGGAGTCCTACTGAGCAGAGCCTTATAAACATATATGTAGTTTCAGAGTGTTACCATAGAGAAATCAGAGGTCATGATTGCAGAGGAAGTCACTGTAAGTGAAGGCCATGATGCAGGGGAGGTCAGCCAGGAATGCAGCAGGCGTGATCAGGGCAGGGATGGTCAGGTGGCAAGGTGCGGGAGTGGATAGCTCCTGCTTCTTGAAACTCTCCAAGTGTCACATGACCCAGTCCCCACAGCAGGAGAAAACAGGAAGCAGGAGATGAGCCCAATGGTGACATCCATGATCCTGAGCTGCTCCTGCAGCAGCTGGGAATGGACCTGGGCGCACAGCACCAGGAGTCTGGGGCTGGGCCTGTTAGGCCCCTCAGCAATGGACCACACCGAGTAGACTGCAGACAGCTGCCATCTGGAGCCCAAGTTTAGAAATAAGGTGTCTATACTTTCTGATTCCAATTCCTCTCCTCCAGTTTATCCTGAATACAATTTTATCAGGTTTTTGCCCCTCTCTCTACCAAAACTTCTTTCTTGTCAGGTGGTTGCTGGTAACTAAATCCATTGGTCAAGTCTCAGTCCTCAGATGACTTAATAGCATTTTTGACACATTCCCTCTTTTTTAAAAAAAATTTTTCTTTATTGATTTTAGAGAGAGAAAGGGAGAGGGAGATAGAGACATCGATGAGAGAGAAGATCGATTGGCCGCCTTCTGCATTCCCCGCACTGGGCATTTGGCCCACAACCTGGGTATTTGCCTTGACTGGGAATCAAACTGGTGACCTGTTAGTATATAGATTGACGCTCAACCACTGAGCCACAGCATCCAGGCCACATTCCCTCTCTTTGAGATACTTTCTTTAGTTGGCTTCTGGATCACTACTGCCCAATAGAACATTAATGAAGATGAAGTGTTCTGTATCCGTGCTGTCCAAATCACTAGCCACTAGCCATGTGAAACGAACCCTTGAGATGTGGCTAATGTGACTGAGGAACTGGACTAAAAGTTTCCATTATGATTTAAATAGCCACAAGTGGCTGGCAGCTACTATGTAGTAGCCCGGTTCTAGATACTTTCCTGGTTTGTCTCTTCCTTACCAGCTTCTCCCGTCTCCTTTGCTGGTTTCTCCTTGGGGATCTGCCTGATTTCTAAATGTTGGCATGGCCCTGTTCCCGTTTCTGTATTTACCTCTTTGATCATCTCATCCAGGCTCATAGCTTTAAATGCCCACATTTATAATACTGCCTTGTATATCTCTCCTGAGCTCAAGAGTTGAATATCCAGCTGCCTACTTGATATTTACTAGATGTCCAAAACCAAGCTGTTGATTTTCTCTCCACCCACCACAATCTGCTCCTTAAGTCCCCCATAAGACTGTTACTAAACAACTGGTGAGGGATCTTTTTAAAATGCTGTTCCCCTCAAAAATCCTCCTCTAGCTTCTCTTCTCAGAATAAAAGCCAAAGTCCTTAACATGGCATACAGAGTCGTAAGTAAGCGGCCCTTGACCTTTACTTCACTTCCTAATACTCTCTCAGCCCCTGACTCCACTCCAGCCACACTGGTTTTCTTGTTAGTTCTAAAACACCAGAAAAACCTGTTTCATAGCCTCTGCACTCTGTACTTTCTGCCTGGGTGCTCGGCTCTGGCTTGCTCCTTCACCTTCTTCAGACCTTTGCTCAGGTGCCAGCTGGTGAAGCTGCCTCTCACCACCCATTGAAAACCCAGCACCCCCTTCCCTGTTCCTCCTCAGCCCTTACCACGTGACATGTTATGTTTTGTCTCTCTCCATGAGTGAGGGATTTTTGTCTTGTCTGTTCACTGCTGTATGCGCCATGCCTAGAACAGTAGATGCTCAGTAATTATTTATTGTATGAGTGACGCTCAGTGTCACTGAACACCTCTCTCACTAGACTGAAACAATCTAGTTTACTTTCCAGAGAGAATAAAGGTTACAATTAACATTTACTATTAATTGCAGAGCATACTTTCACATGTGCTAGGTAAGTTTGGTTATTAAACTCTTTATTTTTATTGTTGACACTATTGCAGATGGTTATTCAATTCTTTCAGGTTTCAGCATGGACTGATACATTCTTTTCAAGGCTAAAATTGAAAATGAGTCTCCCAATTTATTTTTGCCAATTCTTGTTACATTGGTTGTCTTGGGATTCTCCTTTTTAAAATGTTTTTATTGATTTTTTAGAGATAGAGGAAGGGAGAGAGATAAAAACATTGATGTGAGAGAGAAACATCGATTAGCTGCCTCCTGCACACCTACTAGGATAGAGCCCGAAACCTGGGCACGTCCATGGGACAACACTCAATCCACTGAGCCACACCAGCTGGGTGGGATTCTCCTTCTTGATGCAGAGAAAAACATACCACATTCACAAACAAGAGGTATAATTTATTTTTTTTGTTAACCCTCACCCCAGGGTATTTTTCCATTGATTTTTTCTTTTTTTGGTAGAGTGGAAGGGAGGGAAGGAGAGAGAGACATCGATGTGAGAGACACACATTGATTGGTTGCCTCCTCCATGACCCTAACCAGGGCTGGGGCTGGGGATCACACCTGCAACCCAGGTATGTGCCCTTGAATGGGAAACGAATCCGTGACCCTTTGGTCCGAGGGCCCACGCTGCAACTACTGCAACTGCTGAGCCACAACGGCCAAGGCAAGTGGTATATTTTTCTTTCTTTCTTTCTTATTTATTTTTATTCTCACCCCCGAGGATATTTTTCAATTTATTCAGATAGAGTGGGAAGGAGAGAAAGGAAGAGAGAGAGAACATCGATGTGAAAGGTACACATCAAGTGGCTGCCTCCTGCATGACCCAATCAGGGCCGGGACAAACTGCAACCGAGGTACGTGCCCTTAGCGGGAACCGAACCCGGGTCTCTCTGGACCACAGGCCGACGCTCTAACTGCTGAGCCAAACCGGCCAGGGCGCAAGTGGTATATTTTAAGTGGTGGCTAGAGCCTTGAGAAAGTCTTGTTACAGTCATGCTAATTGTTTCCTAAACCACCTAACGTGCACCAAGTATCTCGATGATCTCTTAGAGCTACAACACATATTTCAGTATTCTGGTGTTCAAGGCAATACCATGGCCCCAAAAAGTACTCATTTAAACTAGTAATGTTTTCCTAGAAGTTGCTTCTATCTTCAGCAGAATTTTTGGCACCAGAGGAAATTTGCATTTAAAACTGTACCCTATTGGTCCCAATGTGAACTGCTACTTTTTTTGTGTGTGTGGTACGTGTCCCTAGTGGGAACTGAACCTGGGACTCTCTGGTCCGCAGGCCGACACTCAACTGCTGAACCAAACCGGCCAGGGCTGAACAGCTACTTTAACTTTTCAAGATTTAAATAGAAGCTACTGTCTAGCATTCACTGTTTCCTGGGCCATGTCTTTAAATAGAGCAAGTCTGATCCCAAAGGTCACCTGAGAATGGAAAAGTTGAAGCTACACTGAAACTCGTTGAATAGTTTAAGAATAATGCATTGGCTAGAGGGCAGATTTTTCAAGGTTAAGGTTATGCACATCGGTTTTAGAAACACCTGATCTTTTATTATAGTATCCTACCTCACAGTTAGTCCAGTTTTTCTAATCTTTGTTGTTTTTTCTAACCTCTTTAGAAATCACACTGTAGTCCCTACTCTGACAAACTAGTAATCAGATGGGAAATGTGGATTTTTCTGTTTTAAGTCTGAATTGGTTCACTTTTGCTCTGAATTACTTAATGATGTTTTAAACTGTTAACATGGTTTTTCTGCCCTTACTAAATTTAAAGCATGACTTTTGGAAAGTAAAAATTGTTAGAAAGTTTCACAGTAACTTTTTCTTTTTAAAAAATTTATGTTGCTTTATTCTGTAAGGACACCCTGAAATATTAGATAGTAGCTACTGACAAAATATAGAAATGAGGCATCAGCTTCTCTAACCACTGCTACAAGAATGTTCATATGTATTACCATTACATGTTCACTTTGACATCATCTCATTATACTATGTAATATAACAATGTAGCTAGAATACAGTAAATAGGTGATGCTGCATCTGAGGTAAGCACTATATGGAAATTGCTTCTGCCTGTGAGGATGGTGGCCTCCCCACTCCCCCAGAATCAAGCTAAGCTCTTGAGGAACGGTTCTAAGAATCTCAAGAGAAGAGATGCTGGTGGGCCTCTTTAGCACAGGGACAAAGAGCAGACAACTACTATGTTACATGGGATTCAACTTGCAACCCTTTGGAGATGTCACATCCGTGTCAATGACAGTCCTGGCGCCTGCTCAGCTACCTCTCTACAGTGTTACTTCTGTAGGAAGATTTCAAAACTGTAGGAACATTTGAGGGGGCTAAAACATTTCCATGCAAATCTCCAAACCCATAAACTATGATCCTCTTAATTAAAACAAAAATATTAATTAAAAAAAGAAAAAGAACAGCTGGGTTAGTTTTGTTAGGCTTCCAGAAGTAGTCACTGTGACAATGTTCCTCTGAAACAGGCTCATTTTCCCAGATCCGCCTACCCTTTCCAAATCACCTGCATGATCCTGCTTGAAAGTAGGAATGTTCAGAAACCACAGCACATGGCGAACTTGAACATTAGTATGGGGAAAAGGTCAATTTAGAATCACAGCTAAGTTCAAATGTTAATTTTCTGGAAATTTCTATTAGTCAATGAAAAGCACAAATCAGAAGGAAGGTTTTGATGAGGAAGTTAAACCATGCATTTCTGTAAGTTCTCTTTTTACAGAACAGGCTGAGCAGTGAGTTAGAGCAGCCGCTGCAGCTTATGTGTTGTGTGATGACATTAAGTCCCACCTGAGCCAGGAAGGGCATCTCACTGGGAGCTTTATCTCTTAGGCTTCTTGCTTACATCACTAAGCAGCTAAATGGCTGGTGCTTTTCTGCTCTATGATAAACAAACAGAAGGGTCAATCTATCTTAAGTGTTGTTTTTTTTGTCTGAGGATATTTTTTCCATTGATTTTTAGAAAAAGTGGAAGGGAGGGAGGGAGGGAGGAAGAAACATTGATGTGAGAAAGACACATTGATTGGTTGCCTCTTGCACGCATTCTGGCCAGGGTCCAGAATCAAACTTGTAACCCAGTGACCAGAAATCAAACCTGTGATCCTTCGGTGCCCAGGCCGATGCTCTAACCACTGCGCACGCCGGCCAGGGCTAAGAGTTCATTTTTAACAGCAGCCATTGCAAAATTAACTTTGCTGTGGAGTTGCTTTTTGCTAAATCCTAATATGATTGATCACTGTGTGTCCTTATTTGAGTAATATTGTACAATGGGAGAAAAGACAGAAGGAATAACTTTGAAGAGGTGAAAGACTACTCTTTCCCTATGGATGGTGCAGGGCAGAGGGTGAGGACACAAAAAAACAAGATTCAATTCCATTTTACTAGACAGGAGCCCCTGTCACTTTACTAGCATTTTGGCACAGTCAGGGCAGTACACCTGCTCCTCATGGAAAACAAAGCGCTTGCTGGCCAGATTCAGGGAGCATTTTTTGCAATGGAAACAGTAGTCGTGCCAGGATTGTCCTTCATAGGTCACCACACTGGAGCCTTTACCAAACCCAGTGATGGGGTTCTTGCATCCAGCACACTTCTTGGCCACATAGCTCTTGTAGCATTCCACACAGTAATACTGGTCTTGCACAGCAGTGAAACGCTGCCCAGCCAGCTTCTTAGAGCAGGTAGCACACACAAAGCACCCAGCATGCCAGGGCTGATCCTGGTAAGTGATTCCTTCAGATGTGATGGCCTTGGCGCACTTCACACAATGCTTGGCAAATTTGGCCTCGTAGCAAGTCACGCAGTAGAAGTCCTCCCCTTTAGGGAAGAAGCTTCCGGTCCCAATGATTTGCTTGCAGTTGCTGCAGGTAAAACAGTCTTTGTGCCAGACGGTCCCCTTGTACTCCACATTCATATCTCCTGCCATAATGACCTGTCCGCAGCCCTTGCACTTGGGGGAGGCCTCCTGCATGCTACACTTGGTGCACAGGATCTGGCTCTCTTTGGCCACAAAGGTCTCATTGGCCAAAGGGTGCAGGCACTTGGTACAGCGGAAGCAGGCGTCATGCCAGTAGCGGTTCTTATAGTGCACCTCTTTGGAGTCCGCACTGATGGACTTATAGCATTCCACACAGGTGTTGGCGCAGAACTTGTCAAAGCAGTTCAGGCAGCATTGGTGGCCATCCTTCTCCATGTACTTCTTCCCCTGCAGGGAGTCCCTGCAGTAGTAGCATTGAGAGTTCTCAGCCATGGTGCCCACCTTGTATCTGGACGGATCTCACACTAGATGTGTGGAGAATGACATGTATTTGGCAAGGGCTGGATATAGCTGTCAGTAACTTCCCATGTGCTGCCTGGGGATGCTCCGCAGCACAGATGTTCCAGTGGCGGCGGCCTTGGCAGCAGCAGTGGTGGTGGCAGACTCCACAATAACTTTTTCTGTATTTGTGTATAAAAATACATAACATGATTTTTTTTTAATGCAAAGGGAATAAAATGAGTATATGATGAAAAATTTCCCTCACTCCGGACCCCTACTCTTTCTAGGAGCAGTTTGACTACCCTTTCAAAGAAATTATAAGTACATCCAGCCAATAGTCTCCAACAGTGGCATTCTACACACTGTTCTGTATTTTGCTAGTTTTCATTTAACATTATATCCTAGAGATTGATCGTTAACACAGACTAAACCTTGGTCATTTTAATGCCTGCACAAATGCTCTAATATAATAATGTCCTATTTTTATTAAACTAGGGTGTTCTGATGGACATTTAGGTTGTGTACTATCTTTTGTTACTAAGAATAATGCTGCAATGAATAGTTTTATAAACAGATCTGTGCACGTGTTGCTATTATATGTAGGATAAATTTCTAGAAGTGAAATTGCTGCATTAAAGAGCATGTACATTTAGGCCCTGGCCAGTTTGGCTCAGCAGTTAGAGCACCAGCCAGCAGACCAAAGGGTCAAGGGTTTGATTCCCAGTCAAGGGCATGTACCTGGGTTGCAGGTTCTATCCCTGGCACCAGTCAGGGTCGTGTGGGAGGCAACCAGTCAATGTGTCACTCTCATATTGATGTTTCTCTCTTTCTCCCTCCATTCCTTCCACTCTATGTAAAAATCAATGGAGCTTATACCAGTTTACACTCACCATCAGTATATAAGAGACCTCATATCCTTTCCAGCTCAATATTGCATCAAAAGTTTTGATCTTTCAATCTGAAAAGTAAAAAAATGGTATCGCAATTGTGGTTATTATAATTTTCATTTCTTGGAAGTGGCACGTTTTGGTTTTTGTTTTCCTTTAAAAGCCATGTATATTTCTGCCCTGGCCAGTTTGGCTCAGCAGTTGAAGCGTCAGCCTGCGGACCAGAGACTCCTGGGTTCGGTTCCCGCTAGGGGCACATACCAAAAAAAAAAAAAAAAATTAAACAATAAAAGCCCTTTATATTTCTTATGATCTTGCTGTTCCTTTCCTTTGCCTATTTCTATTGTCTTTCTGACTGGTACACAAGAAATCCATAAAAGGAATTCTTAGTCATTTGTGCTGAAAATATGAAACACCTTTTCCCTCTTTCTCTTTTAACCTTATTCACAGAATGTTCAGAAACTTTATTATGTAATCGTATCTACTAATCTTTTCTAGTATGGCTTCTGAATTTTTAAAAATCTTGCTTAGGAAACCTTCACTCTGAAATGATAAAAACTATTATTCAATTTTATTTTAGTACTTCTATTTTTTATTTTAATTGATTTTAGAGGGGGAGGGGAGAGAAAGAGAGAGAGAGAGAGAGCAATCAATTTGTTGTTCCACTCATTTATACATTCACTGGATGATTCTTGTATGTGCCCCTGACTGGGGACTGAACCTGAAACCATGGTGTATTAAGACAATGCTCTAACCAACTGAGCTACCTGGCCAGTGCTCTTTCAGTACTTTTATAATTTTGCTTTATAGGAAATTCTTGAATCTACCTGAAACTTTTTTTTAAATATGTTTTTATTGATTTTTTTTTTTTTAGAGAGGAAGGGAGAGAGAGATAGAAACATCAGTGTGAGAGAGAAACATAGATTGTCTGCCCCCCTGCATGACTCCTACTGGGGATCAAGCCCACAACCTGGGCATGTGCCCTGACTGGGAATTGAACCAGGACCTCTCAGTTCATGGGATGATGCTCAATCCACTGAGCCACACAGGCCGGGCCAATCTACCTGAAATTTATTACAGTCGTCCCTCGCCACTTCGTGCTTCGACTTTCACGGCTTCACTCTATTGCAGTTTTTTAAAAAATTATAGATTGAGCGAAGCCGGGAAAGTCGAAGAGTGAAGTGGTGAGGGACGACTGTATATAAATAAAGAATCCTACTTTGTGGAAATTCATTTATTGCGGTACAGTCTGGAACTGATTAACCGCAATAAACAAGGACTGTATGTTCTAAGTAGTGAGTAAAGAACCCAGCTTCATCACAAAAACTAATCAATTTGTTTCTCATTTGTTAAAATAAAACTGAGCCCTGGCCAGTTTGGCCCAGCCAAGGCCTGAGAGTTTCTTAAAGTGTTCTGGCATGTACATCTGGTAAACACTACATCATTGTCAAAAATGGCAGTTATATTTATGAAGTAATAAAAATCTATGTTCTTTTAGAGAGAGGGGAAGAGAAAGGGAGAGAGAGCTAGAAACATCAATGAGAGAGAACATTGATTGGCCACTTCCTGCATACCCCCAACTGGGGATTTGGCCCACAACCTGGGCACGACCAGGAATCGAACTGGTGACCTTTTTGGTGCATGGGTCAAAGCTCAACTGTTGAGTCACACTGGCCAGGCCCAAGGATATTTTTTCTATTAATTTATATATAGAGAGAAAGAGATGGAGAGAGGGGGAGAGAGAGAAACATCAGTGTGAGAGAGATACATTTATTGGCTGTGGGCCAGGTTTCGAACCTGCAACCCAGCTACATGCCCTTGCCTGAGAATCAAAACCCAAGACCCGCCCTGGCCGGCTTAGCTCAGCGGTTGGAGAATTAGCCCGTGGACCAGAGAGACCTGGGTTTGGTTCCTGCTAAGGGCACATACCTCGGTTGCAGTTTGTCCCCAGCCACGGTTGGGGTTGTGTGGGTGGCAACCAGTCGATGTATCTCTCTCACATTGATGTTTCTCTCTCTCTCTTCCTCCCTCTCTCCCTCCTGCTCTATCTGAAGATGAATGCAAAAATGTCCTCTGGTGAGGATAAAAATAAAATAAAATAAAAATAAAACTGAGTGTTGTTTTATAAATACAGGGGTGGGCAAAAGTAGGTTTATTATAGTTATAATACAAATAAATAACACAATAACTAATAAATAATAATACAAGGATAAACTTTGCATTTCACATACTCAAAACAATAAACCTACTTTTGCCCACCCCTGTGTTCTTCAGTTTTGATATGAATTTTACACTCTATCTACTTACTATATACTTATCTATCCAAGAAATAATTACCACATAATTAATGTATATAATTTAATTAACATGGTAATTTTCCTTAAAACTATCACTAGCTGCATTTATGGTAATGCATTTTTTGTTGTTCATCTTCACCCAAGGATATATATATATATATATAATTTTTATCTTCACCAGAGGACATTTTTGCATCTATCCTCAGATAAAGCGGGAGGGAGAGAGGGAGGAAGAGAAAGAGAGAAACATAGATGTGAGAGAGACACATCCAGTGGTTTGCTACCCACACGACCCCAACTGGAGCTGGGGACAGACCGCAACTGAGGTATGTGCCCTTAGCGGGAACCAAACCCAGGTCTCTCTGGTCCGCGGGCCAATGCTCTAACAGCTGAGCCAAACCAGCCAGGGCCCAAGGATATTTTTTCTATTGATTTTTTAGAGAGTGGAAGGGAAGGGGGGCAGAGAGAGAGAAACATCAATGTGAGAGAGGCACATTGATTGGTTGCCTCCGACACATGCCCCAACCATAGCCGGGGATCAATCCCGAGACCCTTTGGTTCTCAGGCCGACAATCCAACCACTGAGTTACACCTGCCAGGGCTATGGTAATACAGTTTTGTTTTTTTTTTATCCTCACCCGAGGATAATTTTCTATTTATCTTCAGATAGAGTGGGAGGGGGAGGGAGAGAAAGGGAGAGAGAGAGAAACATTGACGTGAGAGGGACACATTGACTGGTTGCCTCCTGCAGAACTCCACCAGGGCAGTAATACAGTTTTGAACTTTGCAGTGCTCAACCACAATCAGTTCAAACAGGAATTTCTTATATACATTTTATCATCACATCGTGGCTGACAAATGAATTAAAAAGCATAGGTTTTCAGGATGTCTTAGATATGACTCTCTAGTCATATAAGAAATGATATTCTATAGTTGTTCAGATTGAACAATTCCACTGAGATAGGTGTATTTTTTACTTTATTCCTCATCTGAGGATATTTTTCTACTTATTATCAGATAGAGTGGGAGGGAGAGAGAGAGAAAGAGAGAAATATCAATGTGATGGAGCAACACTGACTGGTTGCCTCCTGCATAATCCGAGCAGGGTTGGGTTGTCCGCAACCGAGGTACGTGCCTTGACCGGAATCGAACCCGCAACTCATTGGTTCGTGGGTTGATGCTCTAACCGCTGAACCAAACTGGCCAGGGCAAGATAGGTGTATGTTAAACAGGAACTAGATAAAAGTACTACATAACAAACTGAGGGCCACAGATGTCTCCAACTGATTTTCTCATTTGGAAGAAAACATAAACTTTATTTCCTTTAAAAGTCCAGGACTTCTTTAAAAAAATTTTTTTTTTTCTTTATTGGTTTTAGAGAGAGGGGAAGGCAGAGGGAGAGAGAGTTAGAAACATCGATGAGACAGAACATTGATTGACCGCCTCCTGCATGTCCCCCACTGGAGATCAGGCCCACAATCTGGGTTTGTGCCCTGACTGGGAATTGAACTGGGGACCTCTTGGTGCATGGGTCGATGCTCAACCACTGAGCCACACTGGCCAGGCTAGTTCAGGACTTCTTAATAAAAGTTTCTAATGGGGTAAAAAGGTAAAATATCTGTAACAAAAAAATAAATAAAAAATTCATAAAAAAAAAAAAAAAAATTCTGAGTAGCTGCCCCGGCCAGTTTGGCTTAGTGGTTAGAGTATTGGCCCATGGACCAGAGAGGCCCAGGTTCAAATCCTGCTAGGGGCGTGTACCTCGGTTGTAGTTTGTCCCTGCCCCGGTTGGGGTTATGTGGGTGGCGACCAATCAATGTGTCTCTCTCACATAGATGTTTCTCTCTCTCTTTTAATCCCTCTCTCCCTCCCGCTCTACCTGAGGATAGATGCAAAAATGTCCTCTGGTGAGGATAAAAAAAAAATTCTGAGTGCTGACGAAATAATGCTGATATAGTACATTTCATATTATGATGGGGGAAGTCCAGGGCAGTAGGTGCCACAGAACCTCACAGCACGAGGACCTAACACTGTCTGAGAAACTGGGAAAGGTCTACTGGAGGAAATGTTCACATTGGAACCTAAAGGATGAGAAGAGCTAGACAGGCAAAGGAGGTCACTTGGCCCAGGATTTGAAAAGCAACTGGATTAATTGTGTTCTGCTTGCCTGTGGCTAATGCTTGTACCCTTACAAGGCAGCAGATTTGAAAACCAGACAAGACATTTCTTCTACACTAGTCCTTCAAACTGATCTTTTTTGTCACACATATGGCTCACCTATGAAGGAGAGAGCATTAGAATTAAAATCAGTATTGAAGCTAAGGAAAAGATCAATCAAACCTATAATCCAGAACATAAAACACTGAATCACAAGCATAAGTATCTTGAAATTTCTTCTTTATAAACATATTTACTAAACAAAGAAGGAACAAAATATTTGGGAGCAAAGTTCAGCTATTAATTTAAAAATATGAACTATTTAAACTATACATTTAAGTTGGTTTTACAGATTGTATGAAGGTAAAATATTTATAAGTCACTGAGTTGAAGTCCAAATATTAGACATCACAAACTAAACAAACAAGATACTTTCTGACCATTTACAGACAGTCCCTGACTTACAATGGTCCAACTTATGATTTTTTTACTTTATGATTGTGTGAATGCAATACACTTTCCGTAGAAACCCTACTTCAAATTTTGAATTTGAATCTTTCCTGGGCTAGCAATATGTAATACATTACTCTTTCTGATGCTGGCCAGTGACAGTGAGATTCTGACCAACTATAGGCTAATGTAAGTGTTCTAAGCATGTTTAAGGTAAGCTAAGCTAAGCTCTGATGATTGGTAAGTGTATTAAATGCATTTTTAACTTAGAATGGAATAATAGGGATGTAAGTCGTAAGTCAAGTAACATCTGTATAAAACTTTTTCTACCCCTGGCCGATTTGGCTCAGCAGTTAGAGTGTTGGCCAGCGGACCAGAGAGTCCCAGATTTGGTTCCCGTTAAGGGCATGTACCTCGGTTGCAGTTTGTCCCTGGCCCTGGTTGGGTTATGCAGGAGGCAGCCACTCGATATGTCCCTTTCACATTGATGTTTCTCTCTCTCTCTCTCTCTTTGCCTCCCACTCTATCTGAACAAAAAATGGAAAAATGTCCTCGAGTGAGGATTAAAAAAAAAACAAAAAACAACTGAGCCACACCAGCCAGGGCTATGGTAATATGTTTAAGGCTATGTATATAACCTAGTTCTGCCAATAGTTCTGTAACTCAGGGCAAACACATATTATAAGATTCACTTTATCTCTGAAATAATATGAGGTTATTTCCAACTCTAAAAATCTATGACTATTTGTATTTCATTAGGTACACGCCACTTGATTTATCTGCATTTTAGCTAGGTCAATGAATCAGGAAACATGCACAGTAAATAAAAAATGCCTTAATCCCACTGATAAGCAGAAAAGGGACACACACACACACACTTAAAGGACTTAAAATAGTCCTTTGTTAAGCAAAATCAGTGTGGCTACAGGATAAGAGGAAATATCTAAGTTATAGCCAACATAAATTGTTTACTTAAAGATTACATCTCTATTTATATATAACACATCACAGCATAAAAGAACACCCCATTTGTCTCAAAGTACAAGTTAAATATACAAGGTGGGACAAAAGTAGGTTTATAGTTGTTCGTATGGAAAACACAATAATAAATAATACAAGAATAAACTTTGTTTTGTATAGTCACAACTGTAAACCTACTTTTCTTTTTAATTCTCACCCGAGGATATTCTTCCATTTATTTTCAGATAGAGTGGGAGGGAGGGAGGGAAACATTGATGTGAGAGGGACACATCAACTGGTTGCCTCCCACATGACTCCAACCAGGGCCGGGGACGAACCGAAATGGAGGTAGTACGTGCTTTTAGCCAGAATTGAACCTGAGACTCTTTGGTCCACGGGCCGATGCTCTAACCACGGGGCCGTTAAAACAGCCAGGGTTATAAACCTACTTTTGCCCCACCCTGTATATATTCCCTGAGTGGTGTCATGTCTGGATGTCTGTATATTGGTTGTGAGTATAGATTCAGGGTTTCCTTGGGTTTCTTTCGAGGGCTCTTCTTTATCTTCACTCAGTACTTCTCTCTATTCTCGTTTTCCTTCTACTTAAACAGTCTGGTATTCTTTTTTTTTTAAACTAAATTTGTTGGGGTGACATTGGTTAATAAAATCATACAGTTTCAAGTGTACAATTCTATTATACAGATTGCCATTTTTTTTTTTTTATCCTCACCTGAGGACATTTTTTTCCATTTTTTGTTCAGATAGAGAGAGAGAGAAACATTGATGTGAAAGGGACACATTGAGTGGTTGCCACCCGCACGACCCAACCAGGGCCGGGGACAAACTGCAACCGAGGTACGTGCCCTTAGCGGGAACCGAACCTGGGTCTCTCTGGACCGCAGGCCGACGCTCTAACCGCTGAGCCAAACCAGCCGGGGTGAGGATAAATTTTTTAATTGATTTTTTTTAGAGAGAGGAAGAGGGAGAGAGGGAGAAACATTGATGTGAGAAACATTGATGGGTTGCCTCCCATACACAACCCAAGAAGAGAACAAACTGGCAACCTAAGGTATGTGCCTTGACCGGGAATCGAACCTACAGCCTTTTGGTGTATGGGACAATGCTCCAACTAAGCCACCTGGCCAAGGGCCAAAGTGTCATTCTTACATTCAATACCCAATTTCATCACTTGCTCACGTCAGTTCTTTGAAATGTTTTTGCCCATGAATCATGACATGTATTTTTTTTTTTTATCCTCACACAAGGGCATTTTTTTTTTGGTATGTGCCCCTAGTGGGAACCGAACCCAGGACTTTCCAGTCCATGAGCCAACACTCTAACCACTGAGGCAAACCGGCCAGGGCCTTTTTATTTTGCATTTATTTTCAGATAGAGCAGGAGGGAGAGGGGGAAGTGAGAGAGAGAAACATCAATGTGAGAGAGACACATCGACTGGCTGCCACCCACACAACCCAACCAGGACCGGGGACAAACTGCAACCGAGGTACGTGCCCTTAGCGGGAACCGAACCTGGGTCTCTCTGGACCGCAGGCCGATGCTCTAACCACTGAGCAAACCTGCCAGGACATGACATGTACTATTTATAACAGAAGCGGAAGTTAAAAGATGCAAATATCACACAAATTAATTCAAAGATTATTTTATTTTTTAAATCCTCACCTGAGGGTATTTTTCCATTGATTTTCAGATAGAGAAGGAGGGAGGGAGGGAGAGAGAAAAAAACATCAATGTGAGAGAGGCACATTGATTGATTGGTTGCCTCTCACACGACTCCAACCAGGGCTGGGGATAGAACTGCAACCGATGCAAGTGCCCTTGACCGGACTCGAACCTGCAACTCTTTGGTCCATGGGCTGTCATTCTAACCGCTGAACCAAACCAGCTAGGGCTCAAATATTATTTTAAAATTACAGAACAAAACAAAACAAAATATGCCCGGACCAATGTGGGTCAGTTGATTGGGCGTAGTTCCGTGCACTTCTAGGTTGCCAGATTGATTCCTGGTCAGGGTACATGCCTGGGTTTTGGGCTTGATCCCTGTAGGGGGTGTGCAGGAGGCCGCTGATCGATGTTTCACTTTCACAAAAATGTTTCTACCTCTCTGTCTCCCTTCCCCTCTCTAAAAATCAATTAAAGCCCAACCAGTGTGGCTCAGTGGACTGAGCATTGTCTCATGCACCAAGAGGTTACTGGTTCGATTCCTGATCAAGGCACATGCCTGGGGTTGCAGGCTTGATCCCTGGTGTGGGGTATGCAGGAGGCAGCCAATTGATGTTTCTCTCTCATTGATGTTTCTCTCTCTCTCTCCTTCTCCCTCTAAAAAAAAATCATTAAAAACATATTTTAGCCCTGGCCGGTTTGGCTCAGCAATTAGAGCATTGGCCTGTGGTCCAGAAAGACCTGGGTTCGATCCCCGCTAAGGGCATGTACCTTGGTTGCAGTTTGTCCCCGGGCCTGGTTGGTCGTGTGGGTGGCAGCCACTCGATGTGTACTTTTCCCATTGATGTTTCTCTCTCTCTTCCTCTCTTCTCTTTTCCTCTCCCTCCCTCCCATTCTATCTGAATGAAAAAATGGAAAAATGTCCTTGGGTAAAGATAAAAAACAAAAAAAACCATATTTAAAAAAATCAATTAAAAAACAATCTTTTAAAAAAAAAAGTAGAAAGTAAAAACTCAGTCACCAACTTAAAGGGTTTAGATATCTATCTATCTATGTTTTTATTGTTTTTTTTAGAGAGAGGAAGGGAGAGAAATAGAAACATTGATGTGAGAGAGAAACATCGATCGGCTGCCTCCTGCACACCCCCTACTGGGGATCAAGTCTGCAACCCAGGTATATATCCTGACCCAGAACTGGGACCTCTCAGTCCATGGGATGATGCTCAATCCACTAAACCACACCGGCTAGGCATTAGAGGATTTTTATGAAGTGGTCTCTGTTATATCCATGGTCTAAAATTTCTCACTCAAGAAAACACATTCATTTCTAAACATTTATTATATCTTTCTTTGCTGGAAACAGAAGTTTTTTTCTTTGACAAAACTGTCCCAGGGGAACAAAACAAATGCTTTTCCAAATTAGAGCAGATCTTCCTAAAATGTCAGTGTGTGATAACTAAAATATGGTTACAGTCTTTTTCTTTGGTAATGCTTCACAAGTTTGAGTGTCATCCTTGTCAGGGGCCATGCTAATCTTCTCTGTATCATTCCAATTTTAGCATATGTGCTGTAGAAGAGAACATGATAGGACTTTTAAATTTCATAAAAGCTATTAAGATGGTGGTTTTGGCCGTTTTGCAGATGGTCCATCTGAGTTAGTTCTGTTATCAATGTTATTTTCATCTTCTGCATCATCTTCATCATCACCTTTTAAAATAAATATTTGTATGACAATATGTTCAGTGGTTGAAAGAAATATAATTAAAATAGTTGATAATGCGACTGGTTCACATTAGGATTAATAAAACCATGCATTTTCCAGATCTGATGTACCATTTAAAAGATTTCAGTAATTTTGGTGTTTAAAACATTTCCTATCTCTTTTTTTGAAGATATAATTCACATAACCATAAAGTTCACTTTATAAAGAATATAACTTATTAATTTTTGGTATATTCACAAGATTATGCAATCAACACCACTATCTAGTTCTAGAACATTTTCATCATTCTAGAAACAAATCTCATACCCATTAGCAGTGACTCCCTATTCCCCTCAGTCCTTGGCAACCGCTAATCTACTTTCTATCTCTATAGATGTCTATTCTGTACATTTTATATAAATGGAATCATATAATATGTGGCCTTTTGTGACTGTCTTCTTTCACGTAGCATAATGCTTTCAAGGTTTATTCACATTGTAGTATGTCTGTGTACTTCATTCCTTTTTATTGCTGAACAATATTCCACTATATGGATATATCACAGTTTGTTTATCCACTCATCACTTGATGAACATTTGTGTTTTTTCCACTTTTTAGCTATTATGAACCATGCTGCTATAAACATACTGTATATGTTTTTGTGTCACTATATGCTTCCAATTCTCTTGGGAGAACTAGGAGAGGAACTGATGGGTCAGATGGTAACTTTATGTTTATCTTTTTCAGGAACTGCCACACTCTTTTCCAAAGAAGGTACGCCATTTTACATTTTCATCAGCAACGTATGAGGGCTCCAATTTCTTCATATCCTAGCCAACACTTGTTACTGTTCTTTTTTTATTTTAATCCTCAACCAAGGATATTTTTCCATTGATTTTTTTTTTCCAGATAAAGTGGGAGGGAAGGAGGGAGAGAGAGAGAGAAACATCGATGTGAGAGAGACACATTGATGGGTTGCCTCCTGCACGATCCCAAACGAGGCCAGGGATCAAATCCACAATCAAGGTACATGCCCTTGACTGGGAATCAAATCCAAGCCTCTACTGTCCTGGGGCCAACGCTCTAACTGCTGAGCCAAACAAGCCAGGGCAGTTATTGTTCTTTTTGATTATAGACATCCTAGTGGGCATGTAGCGCTATCGCACTGTGGTTTTGATTTGTATTTCCCTGCTGGCCAATGATGTTGAACATCTTTTCATGTGTTTATTAGCCCCACATATATTTTTTGGAGAACTGTCTAGCCGAATCCTTTGTATCTGGGAATTGGATTATTTGTATTTTTAGTGTTAAATTCTGTCATTTTTCTTTAGTACTTACAATTTTTTATTTTGTAGACTATTTGTTAATTGAGAGATAATTAATATAACACAAAATTCACCATTTTATCTCTATCAATTATTTTTTTATCCTCATCCGAGGACATTTTTCCATTTTTTGTTCAGATAGTGGGAGGGAGGGAGAGACAGAGAGAGAAACATCGACGTGAAAGGGACACATTGAGTAGCTGCCTCCTGCATGACCAACCAGGGCCGGGGATAAACTGCAACCGAGGTACGTGCCCTTAGCGGGAACCAAACCCGGGTCTCTCTGGACTGCAGGCAGATGCTCTAACCGCTGAGCCAAACAGGCTAGGGCTATCTCTATCACTTTTAACAAAGGTAATTCAAACCTAAGGTTTATGGAGATTTCATTAAGCAAATAATACAAAAACATATCCACCTATACAAAGATATTACTAACCCGCCATTTTATTTTTGGACTATATAAGGGAAAGTTTATTTAGAAGAAATGGGCTCAGGAAACAAGTTAAAGAGGCAAAAAAAGAGCCCTTAGAGCTTAGGAGACAGAGAGAGGCAAGGAAAACGCACCTGGGGGAAGGGAGTGGGGAAAGGTACCTCAAGCTCCACAGAGAGAGCAAGGCTGGGTCCTAGGTCCTAAAGGCTTTTAAGGGTGGGGATTTTAGGGGAGGTTCCAGGGGAGGATCTCAAAAGAATATTCATCAGCTTTCCCAGTGTGTTCCTTCAGGGTCCTGGTTTCCACTGATCAATCAGTTATTAGTCAATGCAACTAGACTCACAATGAACAGAATAGGTGGCAGTTATTTTTTCAATAAGTAATGACACATTAAAAAAAAAAAGGCTATGCCCGGCCAGTGTGGCTCAGTGGTTGAATGTCAACCCACCCACCAGGAGGTCGCAGGTTCGATGGCTGGACAGGGCACATGCCCAGGTTGTGGGCCAAATCCCCAGTGGGGGGCATGCAGGAAGTGACCAATCGATGTTCTCTCTCATCCATGTTTCTATCTCTCTCCCTCTCCCTTCCTCTCTCTCTAAAAGCAATAAAGGGGAGCCCTGGCCGGTTTTGCTCAGCGGTTAGAGCGTCGGCCTGCGGTCCCTAGAGACCCGGGTTCGGTTCCCGCTAAGGGCATGTACCTCGGTTGCAGTTTGTCCCCGGCTCTGGTCAGTCGTGCGGGTGGCAGCCACTCGATGTGTCCCTTCACGTCGATGTTTCTCTCTCTCTCTGTTCCTCTCTCCCCCTCCTACTCTACCTGAACAAAAAATGGAAAAATGTCCTCCGGTGAGGATAAAAAAAAAAAAAAAAAAAAAAAGCAATAAAGGGGGAAAAAAGGCTCTAGCTATATACGCCTGTCCTCATGCCAATGATAACATTTTCAACAGATTAGAGGTATTTCTGGAGCCAAGAAACAGACAATATACGTCATATGGAAACAATCTATTATCTGAACTCAGTGTAATGTTCCAAATTGGATCCTTCACATTATCTGGAGTGTCAAGCTGGAAAAAAGAAAGTAGAGCTTAAGCTACTCTACAGAGGAGTTAAGCCCTAACTCCGGTATTTAGTTCACAGGTTCTTCCATCTAGGGCAGTCAAAATATACCCACCTTTTTGCATTCAAAATATAAAGATTTAAAAAATATTAACGCAGTTACATTTCATGTTTCTACTTTCAAACCACACCTACAAGACTGGAATATGGGAGAGTCGTGGCTGGAGTCTTAAAACTTGTTAGACTGAAATCGGTCCCAATCTTCTGAACCTTCTATTCCTAGGATAGACGGCAGTCCACACGTTTGTAATTCACACCTGGTAAACCCCTTTTCATCTCAACACCCAACTCAAGTCATGCCCTCTCTGAAGCCTCCCTGGGTCCTCTCAATTTGCAGTACACATTAGTTACAAATGGTCCTGGGGCCATACTTCCACTCTTTAATATGAGTGTTGGCCTGTTTAACCCCTCACAACTCTGAGGTCCTGTTTAACCCCTCACAAGGAAAGGAACTGTGTCAAATTCACCTTTTTTTCTTTTTCTTTCTTCTAGCGAGGAAGGGTAAGGGTGAGAGAAAGAAACATCAACTTGTTGTTCCACTTACTGATGCATTCATTGGTTGATACCTGTCAGTGCCCTGACCGCTGATGGAACCCGCAACCTGGGCCTATGGGGAAGAGCTCTAACCAACGGAACCACTCGGCCAGGGCCCACCTTATTCTTTCTCCAGAGCTCGGCCCAGTGCCTGGCACAGAGTAGGCGTTCAGCAAATGTGTGCGTGATAAATGACACAAAACACTTGGGTAGAAGCAGCCCGGATAAATCAGCCCAGATTCCGCCCAAATAGGGCGTAAGGTGTCAACAATTTTTAGGTGGAATTCTGCTTCCCCCGAGGCTCACTTTTTTCACGTCTTCTATTGTACACGGGCTCCCCGAAGAGATTTTCCCCCAGGCTCCCTTTCCCCGCCCTCCACCGTCTCAGAACTCACCGATCAAGGCCCCGTCTGGAGCTGCTTCCGGCTGTACCTGGGGGCCCAAGAGCTCGGCCACCAGCTCCCTCATCCGGGCCAAGCCGGACAATAGCCCCTGGAAAGGGTCGACGTCGTCCGGCGCCTCACAAAGTACCCGCAGTTGCTGCGGCTGCCCGTCCAGCCCAATGTACTCGCCTAAAACCTCCATGGCAACCACTGAGTTTCCAGAACGCGCCACCGGGAAGTAGCACCCGGAAGCGGAAACCAGTCCCCAGCAAGCTCAGGCGAGAGAAGGGAGAGGAGTGACTTCCGTTTGTCGGAAGTCGCTCCTCCCCCTTCCTTTGCTTTCCTTATTTTGGGATTGGTTCCTGACACTCAGGACCCGCCTCCTCCGGCCACGCCTCTCGTGGCCGCTTTTCCCGCCTCTGCCGGAGCAAAGCTGCGATCTGGTGACAGTTGAGGATGGCCGGAGCTGAGGGTCCCGCCGGGCGCCACTCGGAGCTGGAGCCCGTGGTATCGTTGGTCGACGTACTTGAGGAGGACGAGGAGTTGGAGAATGAGGCGTGCGCCGTACTGGGCGGCAGCGACTCCGAAAAGTGCTCCTACTCGCAGGTGGGCGCGCGGCGGGGGCCTCGGCTCCCTCGGCTCCCTCGGCTCCCTCGGCTCCCTGGGAACCTTCTCTTCCCCGCCGGACTTACCCTATTCCCGCCTGCCGCGGCTGTCTTCCTCGTGGTGGATCGGGACCGCCGTTCGTCGTAGGCGCCCCCAGCCCGGGCCCAGCTGCCGTTTTACCCTCAGCCTCCTGGGCCCCCTTCCACACCCTGTGTCCAGCAGGGGTCCCCTCCTCCCTCGGTTCTCCTCCGGCCGCTCAGGATTCGCCAGGCTTTGGCCCTGGAGCAGCTGCTCTTTTCTTCCTCCGCAGCCTCTTCTCGGTGCCCGGCTGCTTTTCACGAAGCCATCCCCGTGACCTCTCAAATCCAGACATCTTTGTCCCGACTTTTCCCACCCTAAGGGTATTTACTAGGAACCGAATGGGAGAGGCAAAGAGAGTTCAAGGAGAGAGCCCGGCTTCGAAAACCTCCCCTTATGGGCTGGGCTCCTTGACAGCTAGTTCTGTGCAGTTTGGTTCAGCTGGTAGTTGATTGGGGAGGCGAAACAAGTACCTTGTGGTTCTGCGGTCGCCCCCCCCCCCCCCCCATGGAGATAGGAACTAGAACAGCAGATGGCTTTGGCAAAGTCGGGGTGGGGGGCTGCTTGAAGAGGAAATTTGGCGTTTGGAAGACGTGAACAGGAATTTGAGGGGGGTGTGATGTAGTGTTGGGTGACTCATACTGTATATTTCTAGGTACAAAAATGGATCGAGGTGGGTAGAAGAAAACTCCAAAGGGATGAGAATTCGTAGGGTGAAGATGGTTGTCTTCCAGGGCAATGGAATGGAATATTAGGGAATGTAGAGAGTGTTGGGGTCTTTATGTGGTATGGACTGAGATCATAATACCAGTTGAGTTTACACTGCGAAGTGGTTAGATTTTTAAATACACCTGGTATCCAGAGATAGTCCCAGATGTTGGCTGGTAATTTAAAACCTTTGGTCACCACTAGAACAACTTTTTCTCTGCTTTTTTCTTTTTTAAAAAATGTCTGTATATAAGCTATTTTTGAATTGTGGTTAGCTTTATAAAACAGACTTACTTAAATTTTTCTTTTTATTGTAGTAAAATATATGGAAAATTGCACAAATAATATGTAGGGCTTGAAAACAAACCCATGCAGGTACCTACCGTCCAGATCTATAAATAGAACATCACTGGCATTCCAGAAGCTCCCCTGTGTCTTCTTCCTTCTTACAGGAGGGTGATCATCAAAATTTGTTAAAAGTCTTGCCGGTTTTTTCTTCAACTTTTTTTTTTCAAAACATTTCTAAACTACAAATAAGTTGAAAGAAGAATATTATGAATACTTGTGTATCTCTTACATATATTCATTTTTTAACATTTTCCATTTATCTTTCTCCTCTTCTTTATAATACACTTTTTCTTTTTCATTCTGTGATGAGGCATTTGAACATAAGTTGCAGGTATCACCACACTGCACCTCTAAGTGATTCAGCATGCATCTAAAAAAATCAAAGGGATTATTTTTTAATGCACTGATTTTGTCTTTGATGGAATCAAGCATTTACCAAAATTAAAGTGTGATATTACTTACATCAACCTGTACACATTTTCCTACTTTTTCATATGTTAAACTGAATAAGTATTCTAGCTTATTCACAGCTGATTGAAAACATTAAACTTCCTATCACTGTAAGAAAAATTGTATGAAAGCAATCACTAATATAGTACGTATATAGTGATATGAAACAGTGTTTTGGCACTCTCTCTTTTTTTTTATTTTTTTTATCCTCACCCGAGGACATTTTTTGTTCAGGTAGAGTGGGAGGGAGAGAGAGGAAGAGAGAGACATCGATGTGAAAGGGACACATCGAGTGGCCGCCACCCGCACGACCGACCAGGGCCGGGGACAAACTGCAACCAAGGTACATGCCCTTAGCGGGAACCAAACCGGGTCTCTCGGGACTGCAGGCTGATGCTCTAACCGCTGAGCCAAACCGGCCAGGGCGGCACTCTCTTATATAAGCTTTTTTATTAGTCTCAGTAGTTTTTACAGGAAAATCTTGGCCACAGATAACCTGATTTCAGTGATTTTTCAGATCACAATATGGGTGGGTATTAGGTAACTATGCCATATTTCATTAATTCTCTATTTTTCATTTTGGGGCTGTCTTTTAGGTCTCAGTAAAGAGACAAGCACTATATGCCTGTAGTACCTGCACCCCCGAGGGAGAAGAACCAGCAGGAATTTGCCTAGCTTGCAGTTATGAATGTCATGGAAGTCATAAACTATTTGAGCTGTACACAAAAAGGTAAAGACAATCAGTGGTTGGTGCTGAATGCTTTTTAAATGTTTAGATTCTTTCCTAGCTGCATTTTTTTTAAAATCTTGCTTTTCCATTTAAAGTAGCTATGTACTGGTCAATTTATTATAGTTTTATGTAATAGAATTTGAGACAATAGTTTTTCCAGATGGCCTTTTAAAATATGATTATGGTACAAACTCAAACTACTCATCCTTCTCTGCCATTAATTTACTTGTGTATCTGGTTATTATATATATATGTTTCTGCATGTTAATTTCCAGAATAGTTAAATCTTTTATTGTTATGTGCTTGGAGAAATTCTGAATTGGATACACGAGCAGCAACCAAGCAAGCCATTTTTTAGATCCTAGAAATGAATTTAAAGGGAAGGGGCTATGATAGGAACTTTAAAAAGTCATTAGATTTAAAAGAAAAATTAAAATTGGCTCTTCCTCCTTTGTTTCAGAAATTTTCGTTGTGATTGTGGAAACAGCAAGTTTAAAAATTTGGATTGCAAATTATTTCCTGTAAGTAAGCACTGTAACTATACATGCATTGAAAATAATTGAGATTGATATTTGACAGAGTGGATTAAAAAAATATTTTCCAGCCCTGGCCAGTTTGGCTCAGTGGTTAGAGCGTCGGCCTGCGGTCCGTAGAGATCCGGGTTCGGTTCCCGCTAAGGGCACGTACTTCGGTTGCAGTTTGTCCCCGGCCCTGGTTGGTTGTGCGGGTGGCAGCCACTCGATGTGTCCCTTCACGTCGATGTTTCTCTCTCTCTCTCTCCCTTCCTCTCTCTCCCTCCCACTCTATCTGTACAAAAAATGGAAAAATATCCTTGGGTGAGGATAAAAAAAATAAAAAAAAAAAAAAATATTTTCCAAAAGGGAAGTTCTTATGCTTATTCTTTGCAAATGGTAAATCAATATGAGACTCCATTTTTATTTATTAATTTTTTTAAATCCTCACCTGAGGATATTTTGTAATTCATCTTCAGATAGAGTGGGAGAGAGGGAGGGAGAGAGAGAGAGAAACATCGATGTAAGAGAGACACATTGACCAATTGCCTCCTACACGACCCTGACCAAGGCTGGGGACCAAACCACAACCAAGGTACGTGCCCTTGACCAGGATCCAACTCGCAACTCTTATGGTCCACTGGCTGACGCTCTAACCGCTGAGCTAAAGCAGCCAGGGCTAGACTCCATTTTTTATCCTGTTGGAAAACTAAGTAACCTGTTTAGAGCCTACAGTGTAGATTATAATTAATATGAAGATTTTGGGAAAATGTTCTTTGCACTTCTTTTCAGATTTAATTATGTTAATTGTGCTCATACTCCAAAGCTTTTATTTATTTTATTTATTTTTTAGAGAGAGAGGAAGGAAGAGAGAGATAGAAACATTGATGTAAGAGAGAAACATTGATCTGCTGCATCTTGCATGCCCCCCACTGGGGATGGAACCCACACCTGGGCATGTGCCCTGACCAGGAATCAGACCAGCAACCTCTTGGTGCACAGGTCAATGCTCAACCACTAAGCCATACTAGCTGGGCAAGCTCTAAGGCTTTAAAGCAAAGGATATGACTCTAAAAACTGGATAATTAAAACTTGGTAATAATGAATGTGGGCTAGATGCACGCAGGAGTTTTTCACTGCTTTTTGGCTAATAAAAACTATGCTTATACAATAACTTTTAGTGAAATAACAGAAATGAAAGAAAGTAAGGGATTTTATATTGTTCAGTCATAGTTGCTAAAACTGTTAGGCGTTTCTCTCCTTTGAAGATTATTTTTAGACAATTTTTTGTCTGCTTTTGTTATTAATCCTCACCAAGGATATATATACTTTTTTTCCCTTTATTGATTTTAGAGAGAGAGGAAAGGAGAGGGAGAGAGAGATAGAAATATTGAAGACAGAGAACATCGATTGGCTGTCTCCTGCATGCCTCACATAGGGGATTTGGCCCACAACCTGGGCATGTGCCCTGAGCAGGAATTGAATGGGCGACCTCTTGGTGCATGGGTTAACAACGCTCAACCACTGAGCCACACTGGCTGGGCGAGGATATTTTTTCTATTGATTTTTTTTTTTTTTTTATGTAAAGAGAGTGGAAGGGAGGGAGGGAGTTAGGGAGAGAAAGAGAGAAAAATAAATAAAAACACCTATGTGAGAGAGACACATTGATTGGTTGCCTCCTGCACATGCCTTGACTGGAGCTGGGGCCAAGCCTGCAACCTAGGTATGTACCCTTGATCTGGAATTGAACTTGAGACCCTTCTGTCCACAGGTCGGTGCTCTAACCATTGAGCAGCCCCAACCAGACTCTTGTCTGCTTTTTACTTTTACATCCTAATAACCTGGGGGCTTTGGCTATTACAGCTGGCTGTTAAGTACTTTGAAATTTTAGTAATGCCAGTTTACATAGGTTGCTAATTTTTTTAAAAGATTTTTTAAATTGATTTTTAGAGAGAGAGGAAAGGAGAGTGAGAGAGAAAGAGAAACATTGATGTGAGAGTGGACCATTGGTCGGTTTCTCCTGGATGTCCCCCACTGAGAATCGAACTGCAACCTGCCCATGTGCCCTGACCAGGAATTGAACCGGCAACCCCCAGTTGCACTAATGGTGCCCAACCAACTGAGCCACACCAGCCAGGGCTATAGGGTGATAATTAATACTTACGATTAACTTTTATTTCTGTGTTATCAAGTGGGTATATTCAGTTTCCTCCAGTTGCTTCAAAGAAGATAAATTATTTTTCCCTGTATCCTGGAAAAAGTATCCCTTTAATAGGAGTGAATTCTTTTTCTTTGTATATTTAATGTAGACATTTATTGAATGCAGAAATGTCATAGTGCATGAAATTATGGTTAAAATTAGTATATTGAAATTAATATCTTTCAGGACAAAGCAAAGATAAATTCTGGCAATAAGTATAATGACAACTTTTTTGGATTGTACTGCATTTGTAAGAGACCTTATCCCGATCCTGAAGATGAGGTAAGAATTGGAGGTTGTGGGACTATGTTATCTCTAGCCTTCATTCCTCAGGCTCTTGTCATATCTGGGCCTCTGCAGCTGTTCAAGGGGGAATTTGGAGATTGTAAAGGATTCTGGATTTATCCCTTTTGATGAATTTGGGCTGGATCAAAACTGGTACAGATCTCAACTATTCTTTTTTTTTTTTTTTTTTTTTTTTTTATCCTCACCCGAGGATATTTTTCCATTTTTTGTACAGATTGAGTGGGAGGGAGAGAGAGGAAGGGAGAGAGAGAGAGAAACATCGACGTGAAGGGACACATCGAGTGGCTGCCACCCGCACGACCAACCAGGGCCGGGGACAAACTGCAACCGAAGTACGTGCCCTTAGCGGGAACCGAACCCGGGTCTCTCCGGACCGCAGGCCGACGCTCTAACCGCTGAGCCAAACCGGCCAGGGCATCAACTATTCTTATTCTTACATCATAAGAATGAAATATTGAATGGACTTTCCCAAGGCCAGGACCTTACTCCTTCCTGTCCTTCTTTGCCTACCTGCCTGCTCTACTCTCCTGAATACTTTCTAAAAAAATGGCCTTCAATTTCTTGTCTTTCTGGAAGGAAAGAAATAGCATGTACAAATGATCCTCTTAAAATTTTTAATTAGAACCCTGGCCGGTTTTGCTCAGTGGTTAGAGCGTTGGCCTGCGGTCCAGAGAGACCCGGTTTCGGTTCCCGCTAAGGGCACGTACCTTGTACCTTGGTTGCAGTTTGTCCGCGGCCCTGGTTGGGGTCGTGCGGGAGGCAGCCACTTGATGTGTCCCTTTCACGTCGATGTTTCTCTCTCTCTCTTCCACTCTACCTGAACAAAAATGGAAAAATGTCCTCGGGTGAGGATAAAAAAAATATAAAAAAATTTTCAATTAGAAATACACACAAAAAGAGTTCTTCCTCACTCCTATACTGTCTTTCTCCCGGACATAATCACTATTAACAATTTTTTCAGTGTATATATTTTAGGCCTTTTTCTGTGCACATATAAGTGAGTGAATGTGTGTTTTACTTTGTAGTTTTCCTTTTCTTTTAACGAAAATAAAAATTTTATACATTCGCTTCTGCAACTTGCTTTTCTCATTTATCAATTTATCTTTGACAAGCCTTAGTTACCTAAATATTTTATAGCAGAATGGCGTGTTCTGTATTTTCATTATTATATAGAAAGTGGCAGTGAACACCATTATACAGTAATATAACTGAGTAAACTCCTGCAAGATTTATGTAGAATGGATACCTGGAGGTAGAATTGATGGATCAAAGGATATTTGTATTTAAAATTGTGATCATATCTGTGAAGAGTGTTCAGCTACCTACAGTATGTGATACTGGTTTTTCCCCAACACTGTTGTCATCCCTGCATATTATCAGTCTTTTACAATTTTGCCATCCTAATAGATAGAAGAACTATCTTTTGAAAATTTTCCTTTCCTTGATCATGAGTGAGGTTATGCATCTTTTGACGAGTTTATTGGAAATTTGTAATTAACCTTCTGTCTGAATTGTCCTTTCATATCTTTGGCCCGTATTGTCATTGGGTTAGATTTTGCTTATGTATTTACTGATTGAAAGTAGTCTTTTTGTAGTTAATGAAATTAGCTTTCTGCTGTCTTCCTTTCTCTTGTCTTGGAATTATAATTATTGAACCAAATTATTTAGAGGAAAAAATTAAATATATCTTTGAGTTAACAAAGATAAAACCTTAAAATTGGATATTTTAAGGTATGGGTTAAAGTGTTATAACACTTTTTTAAATTCAAAAGACAGAAAAAAATAAGATGATGAATAAATTGATCAAGGCAGCAGAAAGAATAAAACTGATTACATATATGGGTTCTTTTTCCTGTAAGAACCAGTAATGAAGAAAGGACATAATTACATTGGAATGTTAATCAGTAGCTATGAAAGCCTGGAAACAAAAGGAAAATTATTCTAAAAGTAGTTTATGCCCTATGATATATAACTTTCCTAGGCCAGGATTTATTCAAACTAGGGAAATTGTTTCAGTTTATATTAAAAGATTATAACATTTGCCCTGGCCAATTTGGCTCAGCAGTTAGAGCGTCTGCCCATGGACCAGAGAGACCCGGGTTTGGTTCCCACAAAGGGCATGTACCTCAGTTGCAGTTTGTCCCCTCCCCGGTTGGGGTTGTGTGGGTGACAACCAGTATTGCTGTGTCTCTCTCACATTGATGTTTCTCTCTCTCTCTTCCTCCCTCTCTCCTTCCTGCTCTATCTGAAGATGAATTCAAAAATGTCCTTGGGTGAGGATAAAAAAAAAAGAGAGAGAGATTGTAACATTTATTTTTCAGTGACTTGGCAGCATGATATGGTAAAAAGTCCCATTTGTCACATTCTGTATTGGTCAATTCATATTATTTCCCTGGGCCTGGGTTTGTGTTTATGTATAAAATGAGAATACATTACTTATAAAGGTTTGTGAGAGTCACGTATGAAGTCACTGATGTGGAAGTGCTGTGACAGTGGCTTGCGAAGTGCTCATTGCACTGTAACCCTTCTGTGCCACCAGTTTATGTACAATGAACTTCTCTCTGGCCCCTTGATCTGCAGTCTTTCACTCTCCCATTGGATATTTCTGTGGATAGTGATCTCACAGGTTTGGTAGAAAATTATTTAATATCAAATTTTACTGTGTGCCAGATTTACTTCCACGTCTCAGAATTCAGTGTAATCAAACTGCTTTCCATGTTAGATTCCCGATGAGATGATCCAGTGCGTGGTCTGTGAAGACTGGTTCCATGGAAGGGTAAGGAAATTTTTACCCTTTAAAGCCATTATCTGCACAAAAGGAGAAAAGGTCTTTTCTTTTTGAATTGTGTTATATTTTACATTATAGTTGCTCTTCTAAAAATATCCTATAAAGATATGATCACTGTAGTATTGCAGTATTTGTTTATAAAATAATGAGTATTTTGGACAACTTAGAGATCTCAAGAAAAATACTTAGTTTTCTGTATTCACAGCATCTTGGCGCCATTCCCCCCGAGAGTGGGGATTTCCAGGAGATGGTGTGCCAGGCCTGTATGAAGCGCTGCTCTTTCTTGTGGGCTTATGCTGCACAATTTGCAGGTAGGTGTCTCTGTGGAGTTGTTATGACACAAAGTTGTGCTTGTGAAATTTGTATGTTCGTTCCAGAATTTTTATCCCCCGTTTTTTTGGTTTTTTTTTTCGGTATGTGCCCCTAGCGGGAACCAAACCCGGGACTCTCTGGTCCACAGGCTGACGTTCCAACCGCTGAGCCAAACTGGCCAGGGCAGCACTTTTTTTTTTTTTTAATCCTCACCCGGGATATTCTTCCATTGACTTTCAGTTAGAGTGGGAGGGAGAAAGAGAGAAAAAAACATCAACATGAGAGGGACACATTGACTGGTTGCCTCCCACACGACCCCAACCAGGGCCAGGGATTGAATTGCAACTGAGTTGCAAGCCCTTGACCGAAATCAAACCCGAGACTCTTCAGTCCGAGAGCTGACGCTCTTAACTGCTGACCCAAACTGGCCAGGGCTTTAACACTATTACTAACTGGACTCTGAGGTATAGACAAAGAGTGTAAGATGTGTTCCTCCTTCACAAGGTACTTATTGGTTGATTAGGAGACTACCAAGAACAAATTTGTACTTAAATGGCATGATGCAGAGTATGCATGAGACTAGAATTAAAGAAACTGAAGGAAGCAGTTTTTGAATGGAACTTTGAAAGATAAAAAGAACCCAAATAAGTTGTTTTTTTTAAGTGTAAGATGTGCTGTTGATTGGGGAGGGGGTGGTAGGTATGTTATCTAGTGTTTTTATTGTACACTAAGAAATTGACCCAAAACAACTAATCAGCAATGAATAGTTTGAGGCATTGCATGTTTTATTTTATTGGTCATGCCATATGTATTATTTAGTTTTTTAAAGTGGCATGTATGGTATCTGCTGCTCTGGTCTCTTAATTTCTTGCCCATCTCACCTTAAGGGAACACTTCACTGATAAACCACAAACAGCAGCCATACCTAAGATCTTATCCTACACTTTTGATTTGTCTCAAATTTCTTAAACTTGATGCTCCCTGTTTTTGGTCATACTCTTCACAGCTCTCTCACTTTCCACTGGACCTGTATATATATTCATTGGGTTTGCTTAAGTGGTCTCCCCCCACTAGTTCATTTCCTTCCCTGTCAGCACATGCTTCATCTCCTATTACATTGAAATGCCATCATGTCCCATGAGCTCCCTCACAGTATTTCTGCCTCTATTCCTATCCTTTTTTATTCCTTCCCCATGAAGAAAAGCTGATTGTCTTTTCAAAACTGCCCTGTAACCTGTGTATGCAGTTAAATCTCTTACTATAGCCTCTTGCTTCTTGAGGTATACCATCTCTCATTAACATGTGTGGTATTTCCTTTCTCCTTTACATATAAAGTGCTTAAGTAGTGATTATATTTTTAAACAAACTGTTCAATTTTTTGAACTCTGGATTGGCACGCATAATCTAAAAAAAGTATTGATGTTTCCTTTCTCATTACTGCAGAGATTAAGACTGACTCTCCTTTTCTAGATTCTGAAATATTTTTTAAGCAGGTAAAGTGATTTTATTGTCTAATAGGTCTGTGGATCTGTGTTGTGTGTGTTTCATTGAACCAACAGTAACCAAAGTACCTGCTGAGGATGATGGGTTGGCGTTGAATGTTGATGGAATAAGTGATCAGGAAGTTATCAAACCTGAAAATGGAGATCATCAAGATAGTACCCTCAAAGAGGATGTTCCAGAACATGCAAAGGATGCTGTCAAGGAAGTTAAAGCAGAGCAGACTAATGAACCATGTACCAGCTCTAGTTCTGAATCTGATCTCCAGGTAACAGATGAAGTAGGAACCATAAAAGAAATAAAACTTAAGCCCTGGCTGGTTTGGCTCAGTGGTTAGAGCATCGGCCTGCAGTCCAGAGGGACCCAGGTTCGGTTCCCGCTAAAGGCACATACCTTGGTTGCAGTTTGGCCCCAGCCCTGGTTGGGTCGTGCAGGTGGCAACCACTTGATGTGTCCCTTTCACATCGATGTTTCTCTCTCTCTCTCTTCCTCTCTCTCCCTCCCACTCTATCTGAACAAAAAATGGAAAAATGTCCTTGGGTGAGGATTAAAAAAAAAAAGAAAGAAAGAAAACTTAAGCAAAATTAATTCTGTAAGCTTTATAGCTTTGGATCTCAATTGTGCACTTAGCCTAAAGAAATCTTCTTATAAATCTAAACAATGAAAACATGAAAGTTTAAAAAATACACTTCAAAACTTAATTTTATTTCAGACAGTATTTAAGAATCAACATCTCAACACAGAATCACAGTCTGGCTGCAAACTTCAGGAGCTTAAAGCTAAACATTTTATAAAGAAAGACTGTGCCACCTATTGGCCCCTGAACTGGCGTAGCAAGTTATGTACCTGCAAAGACTGTATGGTAAGTACCTGATCAAGTTCAGTGTCAGTATGTTTTATGGACTGATGCCTAAAATAACAATATCTGAAAACTATATTTATGAAATTAATGTTAGGAGTGTAGAGGAGTTTAAAACTTTTATTCATTTATTTGTTTGTTTTATTTATTTATTTTTCATCACCATTTATCCCCCCATACTCTCCTCCACCCAAAATTTTTATATTAAGCAAATTTATAAAATAGTATTTGTAATCTAAATGCTTGTGGAAGAAATGAAGAATTATGCATTTTTATTTGCTTCATTTTAGTGGGAAAATAGTAATTATTAGCTTTTTTTATATTGTAAAATTGCTTGGAAATACAAAGTGCTTGAGAGTCACAGTAAGTCAATCACCTTTAAGTAAAGATCTCTTAGACCATACAACGTCTACTAGGAAGTTGAGAGATTTCTAAAAGAGATGTGGGCAAAAAGAATAAATCACTCAAGCAACCCTGGGGGAAAAGGCTCAGGTTTTTCTGGCATTTGATCTAAAAAAACTAAATTTTTAGTGATCCTCATGAGGTTGACTTTCTGAGAATAATATGCTGTTCTAATGGGGAAACTGGTTTTATTTTTTAAAGAAAATGTATGGAGATCTAGATGTCCTCTTCCTGACAGATGAATATGACACAGTTCTGGCTTATGAAAACAAGGGCAAGGTTGACCAGGCAGCTGACAGGACAGACCCTTTAATGGACACCCTTAACAGCATGAACAGAGTCCAACAAGTGGAACTTATTTGTGGTAAATACTGTTTGAGTGTGAAAATTGATGAAGTTCATAAAGTTTTCTTCGCTATTGAAAAAAGAAAAAAAATACATACATATATATGGAAGATAACTAATTTAATAGAAAGGAAGTTTAAATTTGGAATTGTATAGTAGACCTCAACTATACTTGCTTAAGGGTAATGTTACTGAGCATTTAGTTGCTATTATCATTGAATCAGGGTTACATGCTAGAATAATTACATGCTGGAGAAACCACAGCATGTGCTATTTTGATGAAGGGTAGATGTGTGAGTAAAGAATATTGGAGAGTGCATTTCTTTTTTCATCCAATGAAAAATAAGTTTCATTGAGCATTACATGTCATGTTTTTTACAGTTCTTGAGGTTGCTTCAGTGGTTCACAGGAAACCACTAGAGTGGAAAATATCCCCAAACTCTTAATTGCAGGCTTTTACATTTTCCCCAGCAGGTCCCTCTTATTTTCGTGATTTCTATCCCAGCCAGTTTCTATGGAGATGCCACCACTTTTGTGCCCCTTTAATGGCATTGATATTTTCATTTTTTATTTGTAACTATTTGATTAAATTTCTTTTGACTTTATTAGACTAAAAGATTTTCAAGGATGGAGATTGCATTTAAATTATTTTTGTAGCCCTCAGGTGCTTCATTACATAATGCAAACTATTGAATGAGTGAACAAGTTTTAAAACTTAATATTTGACAAATCTGAGGTGATTTCAAATATTAGAATTCCAGAGAGATAGGAAACCCTTTTAAAAATCCGTAGCTAATCATTTTGGGAGTAAGGCTATCTCTGGTTTGGAGTTTTTTTGTGTTAATGAAAAAAGTATCACTTTTGATATCAAAATAAAGGAATTTAGGAGAAACTGGGAACATGTTTCTATGCAGATTTAAAGAAAAATAAAAACTATTAACTAAAAAATTTATTAACTAAAATTTATAGATATTCAAATAGTGGTAAAGAAATATTTTGTTTCTAAAAGCCAATGGCTTATCTATTTTGTTGTTTTGATTTAGAATATAATGACTTGAAGACTGAACTTAAAGACTATCTCAAGAGATTTGCTGATGAAGGCACGGTATGTTGAGTTAAAGAATTTTAATCATAGCCTTGTCTGTTTTGAATAAACTATTTTCTTTGATGAAAAAAATCATGCATCTTAAACTGGGCACTTGAGAGTTTAATGCAGGCAGAGCTAACAGAAATAAATAAGAGGTGGTGCGACACCCACAGACAAGCTGTACTGGGTGTCCATCATCCTGACTCTAGGCCAGAAGGAATGAGAGACGGAGCAGTCACACAGGATTTGGAGAGAGTAGTTGTAGCTTAGAAGACCATAGGATCAGACACACCGATTCTGACCTGACCTTCAAGCATGGATCCTTGAAGGAGGAAGAAAAAAGGACCAGGCAGGAAAAAATTAAAACTACTCCCTGTTTTTGGGATTCTGGGTTCTATAGTTTAGAGTAAAAACTTTATAATAATTAGGGCTAAAACATGTCTCTTGCCAGCAAGAAAATCTATATACTTGTAAGGGGGACCCCGACTCTATGTACAATGTGTAATGGTTTCAATAGCATTCCAGATGAATTTGCAAATATGTCCTAGCCCTTTACTATTCATATGTTTGTGGTGATTTTTTTTTTTTTAATCCTCACCCGAGGACATTTTTCCATTCTTTGTTCAGGTAGAGTGGGAGGGAGAGAGAGGAACAGAGAGAGAGAAACATCGACGTGAAAGGAACACATTGAGTGGCTGCCACCCGCACGACTGACCAGAGCCGGGGACAAACTGCAACCGAGGTACGCGCCCTTAGCGGGAACCGAACCCGGGTCTCTCAGGACCGCAGGTCGACGCTTTAACCGCTGAGCCAAACCAGCCAGGGCTGTTTGTGGTGATTTTTGTTTTCTAAAATACTTGTTCATCTTCTGAAGGCAGATATAAAACAAAATTTAACTTTTTTTTTTTTTTTTTTAATTTTTTTTTTTTTTTTATCCTCACCCGAGGATATTTTTCCATTTTTTTTGTTCAGATAGAGTGGGAGGGAGAGAGAGCGAGAAACATTGATGTGAAAGGGACACATCGAGTGGCTGCCACCCGCACGACCCAACCAGGGCCGGGGACAAACTGCAACCGAGGTACATGCCCTTAGCGGGAACCGAACCCGGGTCCCTGTGGACCGCAGGCCGACGCTCTAACCGCTGAGCCAAACCGGCCAGGGCCAAAATTTAACTTTTATGGCCTGAGGTTGTCCTTATGGACAGTAACTGTTCTGATAGATCCTCAGGAAGTGCCTTGAGCTTCGCTTTCTTAGAAGTCTCTGCCAGCTTACTTAGGTCGTTTTTTCTTTTCATGACCGTGAGGAGAACTTGTAGCTGCCTAGGTTTCTGGACAGAGTCATAGTGCTGCCTTGCTGCAAAGTGAATTGTAAACTCAGAAGTTAAAAGCGGCTTCACTGTTGCTATGTAGGACTTCCTGCTTCCCAACAGTTCTTAAAGTAGAGTTATTCTCCTTTTTTTTTGCTTTTTAACTTCTTTTATTCCTTTTTCAGATATTGATTTTTCAGTAACAACCTTTCAAGTTGGTTTTACAATACATAAAGTTAGGAAGAATTGGAGAACTAACTTTGCATATAGTATTAAAAATGGTATTTTGTGTCATAATTGAGTTTTACAAAGTTATTCTTATCTATGCAAAAGTTATCCTCTCGTTAATGTAGATTCGTGCTTCTCTTTACAGAACTAAGACTGTTCGTGGGTGGACTATTTTATTTATTTACTTTTTTGACAGTTTTACAGTTTATTTTATACATTAGAATAAAAGGAGAAGATGTAAGGAGGGTTACATTAGCTCCATTAGTGGTAGATTAGAGAGGCGGGAGAAAGCATAGTGGTGGGGGATCTTTGGGATTGAATGAAAAGCAAAATGGAGGGACATGTATTTCTTTTACATTGATGGGTATAGAACAGTTAACATTATAGTACACAGAGGTGGTGTGTGGGCAACTAGATAACAAGGTGGTCTCATGCTCTGGTGCCAGTGGTTGGGAAAGATTCCCCAGACATTTCAAAGGTATGCTATCGTAGATGAAAAAGACAGTAGACAGGGTTTGTTAAGGTTGATCTTTGTCAAGGAAGCTACAGGCGTAGGACATGACTACCCCCCCCCCCCCCATGACCTGCTTTTAGTTAGGAATTTTATGTGCAGACCATCCTGTGTGGTCTGAGTTTGTAAGGCACACCATGTGGCCCTCCCCTGAACTTCCTGGTTTAGTACATGGCCTCTTTTCATCCACAGCGTTCACATTGTTGTGTAAACTTCACCATCAGCCATCTCCAGAACTTCGCCATCTTCCCAAACAAATTCTGTCCCCATTAAACACTAACTTCCACCCACCTCTCTAAAGTCCTGACCCACCCTTCCACTTCCTATCTCTAGGAATTTGACAGCTCTAGAGACCTCATTCCTTTAAGTGGAATCACGCAGTATTTTTACTTTGGTGTCTGGCTTATTTTACTCAATATAATGTTCTTAAGGTTCATCCATGTTGTAGTGTGTGTAAGAGTTTCCTTTTTAAGATCAAGTATTATTTCACCATGTGGATGGATCACATTGTGTTCCTTCATGCTCCAGAGGTGTGTGGGTTGCAGTTGCATCCATCTTTTTGGCTCTTGTGACTAAAGCTGCTTTAGGCACTGGTGTGCAAATACGGGAATTCTGTTTTCAAATAATCCTTACACAGCATCTTATCTGACCCTCATCACCCCCATAGGAAAGGCAGAAATGATCAACCCTGGGGACACCTGACACAGGTGCTAATCTATGATCTCTTCACAGTGTGTGTAAGGTGCAGAGTTTAGAAACTGCTTAGTGATAGAAAATGTAAGCTTTTGTTACTGCAGCTCATGACAGGGTGACATCCCACCGCCAGGGAGTGAGAGACTAGGTCTGAAGCTAGTTTCCTCGGTTTAATTTAATGTGGGCCACCAGCTTCTCTTCTGTCTGATGCCTCTAGTTCTTTGTCCACCCTCCTGAGGGGCCTTTATCTTTCCGTGGGTTCTGTAGGAGTTATTTGTGAATTCCAAACACTAGTTTGTTGTGAGCTATGCGCCTGCAGGTATTTTCTCCCAGTTTGGTCTTGTCTCTCATTTTCTTTCTTTCCTTGGGCTCTAGCAGAGGGAGGGTGGACTGGACTGGAACTGTGTGAAGAGAGTCGGGGGTTCGTAGCCCTGGGGAGAGAGCTGGGAAGGAGGCCATCAGGAGTTTTATGGATGGAACTGTTTTAACTCTGCACCATTAGTGGACAGTTGAGGTCTTTCAGGTGTGTCCAAGCACGGGCTCTTGACTATGCTGAGGCTCTGCTCCTGTGCAGTGTGTGGTCCCAGTGCTCTTTGTCAGTGCTCTTTCACACACTCACTTAAAATCATGTAAAAGAATAAAATAGATATGTTGTCTTTTCCCATTCCCATTTGAAACAATTTTATTCAAAGTCTTCACATGTATCTGTAACATAGATCTTTATCACCAAAGTTACTCTTTATGAATCTTTCTAAGAGAGAATTTTCCAATTTGATGTGATGATTTAAAAAGACAGAAAACCCAGCTGGTGTGGCTCAGTGGCTGAGCATCAACCTATGCACCAAGAAGTCTCTGGTTCAATTCCTGGTCAGGGCACATGCCTGGGTTGTGGGCTCGATCCCCAGTGCGGGGCATGCAGGAGGCAGCTGATCAATGTTGATGCTTTTCTCTCATCAACGTTTCTATCTCTCCCTCTCTCTCTAAAAAGTCAATAAAAACATAAAAAATAAAATAAGAGGACCGAAAATACTATTTTTATATTATTTGTTTCATGACATTGCTAACTGAATCTTGACCAAACAAAATCCTTAAGTTGCTGTAAGAGTTACCTACTTTTGTTTTATTTGTCCACAGAAGATAATGCTAGAAAGTTCTAGATGTCCTCAGATGCCTCTTTTTAATGTTGTGTCTGACTATTTTAAAAACTACAAATTTTCTGATACCAACTAATCATTTGATTTATTATTGAAATCAGGTATTTTTTCTTTAACATTTCTGCTCTGCATATTGGCTGTGACTATGTAGGGATGTCCAGAAACTAAAAATTGCACACTAATGTGTGTGCTTTTAGGTCTCCGCCCACAATATCCTCGCAGGAGAAATGTTTTTCTTTTATTGCCTTTCAGTGTTAATGTTTGTGATCCAAGGTAAGGAGATATCCTTCCTACTGGAACTCCTACTTACTAACATTGTGTATGTGTAACTTTCCAGGCCATTTAGCCAGGTACTTTAGAGCTTTGAGCTGCAGTTATGTCTGAGTGTATTAGCCATCTAGATCTTGAACCTGTTTGGGGTTCCAGGTCCTCACCGATTGACCGGCAGTTTTACTCTTAGTGCTTGTGAAACTGGCGTGTCGGTACTGGTGTATGGTAGAGAGCCGGCAACAACCTTTCATTTAGAGGATTGATAAGTAGTGTTTTCCCCTAAACATACATTATTATTTTTAATTGATTTTAGAGAGAGGAAGAGAAAGAGAGAGAGAAATATCAATCGGTTGCCTCCTGTATGCACCCCGACTGGTGATCAAACCCACAACCTGCGTGTATGTGTCCTGACCTGGAATCAAACCCACCACAAAGCTTCAGGTGGCTTCAAGGCAGAGAGGACTGGACAGGTTTTCCAGTAAGATCATAAAAGACTTAAGTACCCAGGGCTCGGACCTCCTGAGCAGGTAGAAACCCCAGGCTAGATGCTGTTGTGGCTGCTGGGACAGACCAGTAAGGCAAGAGGAAGGGAAGAATGGGCACCTGTCTTAGCGCTGCTGCAGGTGTATGGGACAACGCTCTAAGCAGCTGAGCCCCGCTGGCCAGGGCATAGATCTCTCTCTTGTTTTTTTTTTTTAATTTTGTTTTTCTTTATTGATTTTAGAGAGAGAGGAAGGGAGAGGGAGAGAGAGATGGAAACATCAACAAGAGAGAACATCGACTGGACGCCTTCTGCACGCCCCCCACTGGGGATTTAGCCCACAACCTGAGCATGTGCCCTGACTAGGAATTGAACCAGCGACCTCTTGGAGCATGGATTGACGCTCAACCACTGAGCCACACCAGCCTGGCCAGGACATAGATATCTTATCTTACCCCAAGAAAGTTCTTCAAGTTAGCATTGCCATTTGTGTATGTTAGCAGCACTTACCCCTGGGGAGCAATAGAGGGATTTTCATTTTGTACACAAATGGTTGTCCTTTTTATCTTTCTCTTGCTCGCATGCATTCACTGCTTTTCCCTCCTCCATGCCCCTACCTTTGATCTTCATAAAAACAAGCATGTGTTATCTCTGTCATTAAAAAGTAATGAACAGAAAAACCCAGTAGTTAACAAATCTGTCTCTTGTGATGGCCCTTAGAAAGCTTTAGATCAGCCCTGGGCGGTTATCTCAGTGGTTAAAGCGACTCTCAGACCAAAGAGTCAAAGGTTTGATTCTGGTCAAAGGCACATACCTCAGTTGCAGTTTGTCCCCGGCCCTGGTCAGATCATGTGGGAGGTAGATGGTTGATGTGTCTCTCTCACGGTGATCTTTCTCTCTCTCCCCCCCTCTCCCTCCCACTCTATCTGATGATAAATGGAAAAATATCCTTGGGTGAGGATTGAAAAAAAAAAAAAGCTTTAGATCAGATCACTGGCAAGACTCACTCTTGGGGTGAGCAGGAACTTTATCTGGGCTGTTCTGGTTCACTTTTTATCCGTATTTTCTCCTTTGTCTTATTTTCTTTAAATATTTTATTTTTCTTACATCGTAAACATCTTTGTATCATGCTCCAATTCTTTTTCCAATCAAATGGAAGATAAAGTTCTCATTTTTATTGCATAAAATGGATATTCATTTACTAAGAGAAGTGCTTTTGTAGTGTTTGCCAATTACTTTTGTTTATATACAAGCATCTTTAATTTGGGACTCTTGAAGAGGGAAAAGTTTTTAGGTTCCTTTTTTCAGGAAAGAAGAAAGCCACAAATCTCAAAACAAAACACCTTTTTGTGGGTGCTTATGCAGAGCTGAAGGACATCCCCAGGAGACAGCTGTGGACGGGAGGGAGCAGTGGTCTAGGACCGTCTGGTTCTCAGTTTTTGTGCGGGCTCTGCCGCTCTTCTCGTTAGTATTTATTGAGAGTTGACTATGTGCTAGGAGTGTTCTACGGTCACTAGATCTCAGCTGCTCTTCAGAGACCCTGCCATGGGTGCTGCTTTGACCTCATCTTGTATGAGGAAACCGAGGGAGGCGGCGGAGCCCACGCTCGGCACCATACTCTGCCTTGCTGTGTGACTTGGAACAGGCCAGTCTCTCTGAGCCTAGATGAACTCCATAAAATGGAGATAGTATAATTTACTACCCATTAAAATAATTCTTATCAGCAACATTGTTTGACTTGCTTGTGAACGTAATGACCTGTTATTGCTGTTCTGTAATCAGTTCCCTTTCCTAATCTTGGCTTTTCATCAACAGGTTGTAAAGAGAGAGGACATCCAGCAGTTCTTTGAAGAGTTTCAGTCAAAAAAGAGAAGAAGAGTGGATGGGCTGCAGTATTACTGCAGCTAGAGTGGGGCCCGGCACCTTCCTGTCCAGGCGGTGAAAATGCCACGTACTGTCCGGGAATAAAAGGCATATTTCACATCCTCTCCTCTTCTGTCCTCTCTTTGGAGAGGCCTCCTCCTCTGACCTTGAGCTTCCTTCACTCTCCTTAACTGCAGTAGCCACAATGTTTATGCTGATTTCACAACCAACATTATTCTGACTCAGCTAAAAGCAGTTCATTCCACAGACTTCAGGCCCCACCACACCCGTCTATTCAGCGTTACTTGCTTATAAGTTTTAAGAAGTTTGATTTGGTTTTGAGAACGTAAACTAGTTTCTTTCTAATATTTTGCTCTTTAACTCCCGAATGTCTACTCTGCCACAGAGCTGTTGTCTTTCAGGACCTGCTTTGGGGGCATCTTCCTACCAGCTAGAACCTCTCGAGGTCCCCTCACCCCCTAATCGTGGTGCCTTGGGTCAAAGCTTCCTCAAGCCTAGTCTGCTCCTTCTCCCACATCCCAGCTTTCTGAGGTTAGGCCACGGCTTACAAGGGACCTCGACACTCGTTTCCTCTGCGCCCAGCCTCTGGAGTAGGCGGGACTGACGGTGGTGTGGCCTGGGTGTCTACAACCATGGAGATTGGCTGAGGGCAGGATTGAGGAAGCCAACCTTTGATAGGAATTTTACTAATAAATTTGAAGTGAAATTGCATTTACTCCTCCTGGCACTGGCGTATTAGGAGATGGGCACTGCGGTGCCCGCAGGGCGTCCTGGAGAACACCTGCCAGTACGTCGTCCCTCTTCTGCCCAGAGGCTAGACCGGCACTCCCGTGAACTCGGTTTACAGTCCTGCGTTTCCTTATATTATCAGGGATATTCATAAGCATATATTACAAACAAACCTATTTTGATATTGTTCTGTTTTGAAAATGTTATTAGAACCCAATAAATTATTCCCCCCCTAAATTGTGCTGAAGGGAAAAGATGATGGCGCAGCTTACTTGTAGGAGCAGGGCAGCGAGCCCTGTCGTGCACGAGGCAGCCTGGAAGACCCCAGGCCAGGCCCCGCGCTGCGTGAAGGATGAGCTTCATGTATATACGCATTAATGCCCATAGCCGGTTCCCTCACGACTCAGATCTTTTGAAGAACCTCATGGAATGTATGAAACCCCATATTTGAGGGGAAGCCCTTTCAGTTACTTTGAAATCTCTTTAAAGCCCCTCAGTCTATGTGGAAAACACCCTTTAATAAACGCAGAATTGCTCTCCCTCTGGAGGAACAAGGTCCTGACAGTAGATGACACACTTGGAGGCATGTGACTACGAGCACTGTGGCTTTGGGGCCGCAAGTGTTTATTGATACTCCTCTGTGTTCAGCAGCCACGTAGATGAGTGCCCACTGATCCCTGGATGAGGAACAAGAACGCAGTAAGGCAAGGCCTCAGAGAAAATGGTCCATCCCATGTGTTTCTGCATCACCTGATTACAGGTCCTCAGGAGTGATGTGTGCAGCTGGGAGGTCGAGGCCACAGGAGGTGCTCGTGCGCCCCGTGCTGGCCTTGAGGGCAAAGGGTAAACGGGCAAGACTGGAAAGCTTGGCCTGTGAGGGTTAGTCCCCAGCTTGGGACTCTGCCAGGTCAGGGTTTCTGCGCCCTGTCTGCAAGGTTGCACAAGGAGTGGGCCGTTGTGGTCTGAAGGTTTATAGCTTCTCAAATGTTTGATTTAACTCCCAGAAAGTTCCTTACTTCTCACGACAGGTCTGGACCGGGTCTCAGAGGTGAGGCATTACTGTGCAACACAACAAGACAGTTCACCTGTGCCGAAGGGCTTGTTTTCTGAAAGGTACTGTTCCTTCTTTTACATTGACCAGAAAACCTCTTTTTATACCTATTGTTCACAACGAATTTTCTTGACTGTATTGGACTGTCTCTTCTTGTAGAGACCGATTTTGGCCAACATGTTAATGCATGTTTTATGCAAAAGAAGAATATATTAGTTGCTTTGAAGGAATTCTGGCATTGTATGTCCATTTTTGTAGAATTGTTACTGGACTTATAATTACATACTAAACTTCAATCAGGTTTCTGTAAGATTAAATAAAGCCAATTCTAAATAGTGCCTTTCAGATTGATTGTAGTCATTTAAATATGCACAAACTCCCTTTGAGGTTTAAGGACATGAGTATTGAATGAGGACTCCAGCAGCCATGCCTGACCCGAGTCCCTGGCCTCACAACCCCTGGGAGGGAGCTTCCATCATCCCTGCCAGGACCTAGATGAGCAGCAGCACAAAGAAATGGGCGTGGGTGGGAGGGATGTTTGTCCAGCGGCTGCTGTGTAGGAGCTAGGAACCCCGGTCTGAGGAAAAGATGAGGTCCCCCTAATGGTAGCTATTATTTCAAAATGTGAAAACAAACCAAAAAGCCAATATAGAGGCCCTCGGGCCTTCCCCCAGCCTTGCTGTCTCGGGAACTGCGCAGCCTGTGGCCCTCGCCCCGGTGCGTCTTGCTCAGTGCCGGCCGTGCTCGCTGCAGACGCAGCTGCTCGGATCTGGAAAAGGGTTATGTAATCAGCGCCAGGAAAACTGCTCCCGGTGGCCCAAGGCTCCCTCGCGGAACAGGAAAATTAAAAGCTATCCCAGTGATTACTGGACCTCGGCAGTGCCTGGGTCAGCTCCCCACGGAAGACGAGTGTGTGCAGGGGCACGTGGGAAGTAGACACCTACCCAGCACAGCTCACAGGAGCCGATGGGAGCCAGTCAGGTCCCCTCAGAGCTGCCGCCAGACGCAAGCCTTGGTCTGAGTGGGCATCCGCACTTGGCATTGGGCCAGCCATCCTGGTACCCCGTGTCCCCGAGCCACCAGGCATTAGATAGTTGAGTGCTTCAGACGTAGATCACAGAACCCATTGGTGGAGGGGCCTGCTGATTCGCCAGCCTCGCCTCCTTCAGGAGTCCCTCCCTCAGGCTCTGGCCTCTTGGCTTCTATGCCCCCGTGCTCCTGGTGGCAGTGCCCCAATTTTCAGTTAGCTCCCTGCCTCCCCCTTCCCTCCCATGTGATCTGAGGGGCACCGGCCACATCCCTCTCCCGGCTGTGGGCACAAATCCGAGAGCCAGGCGGGAGCCAGGCTTAGGAGGAAGCCAACACCCTGGCAGGCAGAGGAGGGAGAGAAACCAGGTCTTCGGTGATTCGGGCATGGAGCCTATTCCCACCAGTGTTCGTGGAGTCCACCAGGCCCCTCGCTGGGGTCTGCTGCATCCTGAGTGTCCTGGGCCCGGGGGGAACAGTGACCTGTGCTCTACTGTTACAGCCTCTCTTGCTCCAGGTGCACTCAGGCCAGCTGAGGGACACACTGGTGGGGTGACCACGTCAGGGTCACAGCACTGCACGTATGGGGGAATGGGTGTTCGACTTTTTTGTTGCCTGGAGCAAAAATAAAATGGGATAGCTCCTGGGATAAAGAGCTGCTTTCGAATGACAGAGGCACCTTCTCCAGTGCACCTACAAAGCTGCCGTCAAGTCAGACTCATTCCCAGGTTCCCTCCTCGGTCCACTTGCCAGTCGCATGCTGCTGACCCCGGCTCCCCTGCTTTCCTGCTTGGCACCCCTCCCCTCTGACCCCTCAGTGACGGATGGAGAGACCGAAGATGTGATGTGGCTCAATCACCGTTCACTTTGTAACAGCATGTATTAATATTTGTGAGTTTGTTTGCTTAATACCTGCTCTCCCCACAATGGGTCCTGGCTGCCACGTGATGGGTGCGCCACCGCCGTGAAGTACACGCACGGGAATACTCACTCGTGCATCCAACGTGTGCTGAGCACAGCCACGAGCCGGAAGCTTTTATGTCCATGATCTCACACAATGACCCGAGAATATAATTGTCCACTCCATTTTACAAACGTGGAAACTGATGCTCCAAGAAGCTGAGATACCACAGCTAGTTGGTGACTCTGGGGTCAAATTCACACCTCCCCGATCCCAGGCCTGCCCTGCTCGTTGTACTCCACCGGTCCGGCCTCACTGAAGTGGGGCACCTATACGCAGTTAAGAATCTCAGGGCAAAAATGACGGAAGATGCTGAGTCACAAGATGCCGTATTTTGCCCTGGGATGAGAGGGCCATTGACGCTTTTCTTGGATTTTTGCTTTGATAAACTAGTTTAGACATAAACGACACAACTGATCCCTCTTCCAGCATCTTAACCACTCCAGGGAGGGTTTTTGAAATCTTCCAGGAAATAAATCCTGCCTGGCCAATGTTGCCCCAAGGACCAGAGTCGTGGGTTCAATTCCTGGTCAAGGGCACATACCTAGGTTGCCAGTTTGATCTCCGGCCTTGGTTCGGACGCGTTCAGGAGGCAACCAATCAATGTCTGCCTTGCACATTGATGTTTCTCCGCCCCCCCACCCCCCTAAACAGCCATTGAAAAAATACCCTTGGGTGAGGATTAAAGAAATGAGCCCTGACCAGTCTTGCTCAGTGGTTAGAGCGTTGGCCCGTGGACCAGAGAGTCTGGGGTTCGATTCCCGCTAAGGGCACGTACCTTGGTTGCAGTTTGTTCCCAGCCCTGGTTGGGGTCGTGTGGGTGGTGGCCAAATGATGTGTCTCTCTCATATCAATGTTTCTCCCTCTTCCTCCCTCTCTCCCTCTAGCCCTATCTAAAGATAAATGCAAGAATGTCCTCGGGTGAGGATAAAAAGAAAGCAAGCCCTATAGACAATCACCAAGCACTACAGACATCATGCACTAATTCTATTCATAGTTGAAACCATTCTCTTGGTTCTCTGAGCCACGGGCCTTCCCCGGAGAGCTGCCAGCCTCCTGCCCGATTTCCCGACCCACTCTGGCTCCTCAATTAAGCAGGAACGACCACACTAATCCAATTACACTGTGCCCGTTTAAAACCCCATAGCAGCTTCCCGCTGCTGTTAGGATCAATGTCTTCTGAGGGCTGGCAAGGTGGGCCCAAACCACCTGACCCCACGAGCTCCTTCCCCAGTGCTCGGCCCTGCCTACCCGAGG